CCTTGTACGTGGGTAAGAAACTTGTCAGAGTGATTCAAATCTCTCATGAAAGAATATATGGATAAGTATAGAAAAATAGTTAAGAAGAGACTATCACTGTCATATATTCAAATATAATCCAAAACTTTAATTATTAAGATAGGGGTACTAGAGCAATAGGCAGATGATCAATAAGACATAAAAGAAAGAAGTCTTGATGCAAAGTATAAATAAGAAAACATCAAATGCAGCATGACTTTACATTGTTTTCTGGCAAAAACTTAAAGTCAGACTTAATTTTAATACCCTTTAATATTCAACAGGTCTAAGATAAGAAGTATGAATGGCTAATAAACCAGGGGCAGCAGAGAGGAGTTTAGTTTCAACAGCAACCAAAGAAATGAAAATTAAGGTAATCAGATACCTTGATCTATTTTCAAATTGAGGAGAGAGGGATGTTGACCAGTTTGATTATTTGGGTAGTATCTATTAAAAACCTAAAAAAAATAATTCCAGCCATTTATCCTAAGGAAACACTCAGCCATGTTTAATGAGATAAGTGTACAAGAATCTCTAACAGACTTAATATGAAGAATTCCACAGACTTAAATATTATACAGCCACCAAAAATTGTGCTACAGAATAATAGCTGAACACATAGAAAGGTACATCTTATAGTAAGGTATATATAAAATGATTCTAAAAAACTGGAGGGAGGAGCACCTGGGTGGCTCAGGAGGTTAAGCATCCAACTCTTGATTTCAGCTCAGGTCCTGATCTCAGGGTCATGTGATCGAGCCCCACGTTGGGCTCTGCGCTTGGCGTGGAGTCTGCTTGAGAATCTCTCCCTCTCCTTTTGCCCCTCCCCCTACTCAAGCTCTCTCTAAAATAAATAAATCTTGGGGGGGGGGGAAAAACGGAGGGATATATACCAACATAACAATAGTAATTCTCTCTGTATAATCACAAGCCATTTTATTTACTTACATCCTCAAATTTTCAACTAATTTACATTTAACACTAACATTGCTTTCATATCATTAAAAGGCTTTTAATCCATATATTGAACAACTGGATGTATCTGGCCTCTCTTGTGCATGAACTAAGGGATCATCCAACCCTGTAATCCTAAAAGCAAGCACAATTTTTATGCCTGTCTCTCTGTGAAAGACAGTGAGCCATTCGATGGTAGGCTTTGTGGTCCATCTGCCTTTGTATGCTCAGTCCTTAGCACAGTGCCCAGCACAGAGAGAGCACTCAGTAAATGTTGGGTGGATGAACACACAAAAGGGTGAAGGAACTCATGAATTATTTAACTGCTGCAAAGACCCAGGTCCACAGGAGAAAGTGAAAAAAGTTTAGGTGCGAATTTAAGTTTTCACCAGAAAATGTGAAGTCATGCTACACTCACCTAAGAGTTTCACTGTAAACTTCAAGCCAGATCATAGTCATCCATATTTTTTAAAGATATGAACTGTTTTATGGTTTCAGAGAAGAATGGTATAAAAAGTAGGAGTGTTGCCCATGATTACAAAACCAGGCGAAGTTCCACGAGAAACCAGGGGAGTTACACTTTGGGAATTAGGCATTCTTTTAAGATCATTCACCACCTCTCAAATGTTCTAACTTTTGATGCCTGGGAATCATCTAATAAAATGAATTGCATTAAGAGAAACATCCCCAAGGTCAAAGATTAGAGGAGCACAGTTACCTGAAGGCTATAGAGGAGCTGGGTTAAATTCTGTATCGCTTGTATAATCTGGAAGATAAAATCGTAAGTGTCAAATTCTTGAAAAAGCTCTCATTATCTAAAAATAAAGAGAGGATGATAATATACTTCAGGTGTGTAGAGCTCACCTCTGACTGTGAAGAAACTGGGAAGCTTCTGTATTCCACCTAAAATACGTAAAAAATAAGAAAATGAATAATTGCTCTTCTTTTGAAAAGCTGCACTTAGTGTTCCAAAATGTATGACCTCAGGTAAATCATTTCACTCTCTCTAAACTCTTCCATAGTGACCTTCTTTCTTGCCAGAAATCAAAGCCTACAGATTTAAATAACCACTGGATGAGAGCCCCATCTGTGCAAATTCTGCATTTGAGATGCATGGCAACTTTTCACCCAAACATCCCTTTTAAAAACAAGGGATGACAGTAAGGAAGCTCTGCACTCTCTCAGTAAGTGACAATATTTACCTTGTGGAAACCACACCATCAACTGAGCTCTCTGTGCCCAGACTGAAGTTGGCCTTCAGGCCAGTCTGGCTCCCTGCATCCTGAAGGCCAGATTTGGAAGCTCGAGAACATCATGCCTGAGTTCTAGCTCCCTGTCTCCATGTTTAAGACTCACAAGGCCAAAAGGGCCAGTGGTTGGCAGAGGAAACCCAGACCCAGGGGTGGCCCAAGGGTCAGCACCTAGCTGGCCTGCTCCAGATCCTACTGTGAGTTCACTGGAAGCATCTGTGATTGCCTTAGGAAAAGCACTCTCAGCAGAGGCCTTGAGTGGGGCTGGAGACCATCTGCTCCTGGGGACGGTGGGGCCTATGTTTCATTCTTTGTCTCTCTAATACAGACATTAGAGACACATGTGGACAGTGAGGATTTCCAGTTTCCACAACTGAACTGAACATTTGTCTATTCATTTATTGCCTGTCTTCCTTCACTAGGATATAAGCCAATGAGTAGCAGGACTTCTTATGTGTATTCATTGCTGTATCTACAAATTTAACAATGATGCCCCACTTCTAATGGACATTCACACTCCATTCTATAAATAAATGTCGTGCACCTGCTGTGTACTCCACTCCTCGTGCTATGGGAGATCACCAGATTCCCTGCCTTCCTAGAGCCTACAGTCCCCTGAACGTTGCTTGCTCTTATCTGAGCAGCTTTAAATTGAAGCTACAAGAAACGGTCAGCTGTTGTAATGTTCTCAGGTAACTCCGGACTTGTTAAATTCGATTAGTTCAGGCTGGTGAAGCTCTGCGATCTCAAGACAGCCAGATCCCTTCTTCCTGTCCCTCCCCCACACTCTTCCCCATACTGCCCATAAAAGATTTCTTTACTGAACAGAACGTCTAAGACAGGAAGGATGAAGGATGGAAAAGGACATGAAGTTTAGAGTCTTTAGACCTGTGCCCAGAACCACCCCCTCCCCACCATACTGGGCTAAGAACCCCCATTCTCTAGTGAGTTCTAGAGTTCTCTCTGCTCTTGTGGTTCTGTCCCTGCTGTACGGTCCTTACCTTTGTAATAAGAAAATCCTACGCTACAGTATTTTTATACTCTATACAAATTAGAAACACAGAAATGAGTTGAATTACGCTATATGCAGTTACTTATTCCCAAGAACGGCTAAGTTTGGTACCGGACAGAAATGTTTAAGGTCCTATTTTTCATGGAGCTGGTCCGCCACCTTCTGGTGCATGCCATAATTGCAGCTGGTGATTGACACACCAGGTATTTTTCCTTCTGCAGCACTTTTTAAAATTCTTTCAGAAAAAAAAATTTTCTTTAATCTTACCTGATTAAAGAAGCTAATTACAAAATATCCATCACACACACTTTTAAAAGTTTGATTTCAGGTGATCCTACCCTATTTGTTAGTTCATTTTCTCAAATGCCTTATTAAAATTCTTCCAGATAGGTTCACCCAACGAAGGACCTACACAACCTCATTTCACTTACCTGTGACTGAATCATGGAAGGAAAAAAGACCTTAGCGGTGGGAGCCACCATGATTTCCGTTCAAGAAAAAAACTATTAGTAACTAACCAGCCCTCCCCTTCTCTCCCTCCCTTCCTCCAGAACAAAGTCAGTTAGAAGCAACAGACTGAAAAGTATAGTCCGCACTGAAAAGGAGGGAAAAAGTAGGAACGTTTTAAGAAGAAATAAGTCAGAAAGCTTACAGTCAGAGTAAGCAGAATAAAATATTGCATTCCTGTTTTCATTTTGGCCTATGAAGTTTTTTTTTTTTTTTTTAAATACTAAATCACAGCCATATCTGCTATGGATTTTTCAAAATCTTTGGACCTGGTGTCTCAGTTATGTAATATATACAAAAATACATAATATATAAATTATTACATAAATATATGACGTATGTCATTTTTCCACATTAGCATATACTGGTATCTGGTAATGCGCCTAATTTCATTTTAGATAAACTCTTGAGTCCCAGACAACCCCGGGGAAGGCAACTAGCCACCTCCCAGAATCATACTCTTATTCCCAATTTCTGACATCCCAGGTTCATTTGAACTAAAGAGGAGGTTTCCTGCATTTAGTTTTTCAATGAGTGTCACAACCTCTGTGTAAAACTATGTCAAAAAGAAGAAAAAAAAGGCATTTGGAACCACTTTGCCCCAGGCAAAAAATGGTCAGGTTGATTAAAAAAGTCTCACAAAAAAGTAGGTGACCATGTGGGTGGAGAGAGGGAAACAATCTGAAATGAGAGGAAGATAAAAGAAAGTGAAAGCAACAGGGGGTCCAAGTCAACTTTATTTCTGCCACTTGAGCGCCACCTGGTGGCCCTAGGGACACCACCGGATGCCACGACTGCCTCGTGGCCAAGCGCTGCTAAGTGTAGCAGGTGACAAGCTAGAGCTTTGCAGGGAGAAAAGCAGAAGCGAGACCAGAAGTAAGAGTGCGCAGACACACAAACATTCGAGTTTTAAATCCTTTTAATTAATAACTTTGAAATCGTTTCTTTGTTTACACCTGCACGATATAGGCCGAGCAAGAACATTTTGAGAAAATTTAAGTTAGAGAGGTTAGAGTGCGGAAATTGCGAACAATTGAGGAAAACACTTGCATACCACTCACTGCCACGGACAGACCAGGACCTGAGGTTATGCTACTACACAAAGTAATGGGTGCCATTTACTAACGAATCAGTTCACAATACCTTCTCCCCTGCATCAGAGACCGCCAAGTCGGTTCCCACACCCTGGGTGCCAGGGTCCACATCCCAACAGCCTCTTCCTCCTGTCCCTTCTGTGACTAGTGCTGGAAGCACACCAGTGAGACAGAAACAGAAAGGACATCATCAAACATCAGCCAGCGCACGGGGTTCTCGTGTACACAGCTGACAGGTATTTCAAAATAAGAAACACAAAAACACACGTATTACATACCCTCATTCGAGGGGCCAAAACAGTGCAAAGCACAGAGTCCCTGCCCTCAGGGAGCTTACATGCTAAGAGATACCAAACTGACAAATGGCGTCAATTACCACCCATCTTTTAAGTTTTCTTTCCCGCAGAGAGGTGCTCATGTGATGTTGGCGATACCGAGAGGGTGGGTTCTACATCTCACTTGCGCTTACTAGGAAAAAGCCACTGCCAAGAAGGAAATTGAAAAGAGGCACTGTACAACGAAAGCAGGGGCTGGTCGACCCAGGTCTGAGCAGACAGCTCGGTGATAGGCTCCTTGGTGGCCAATGTAAGGGCAGCAGACCATAAACAAGGTTTACGAGGAGGAATCCAACAACGGGAGGGAGACATCTTTCTAAGCAGGGTCAAGATGGCTAGTACTTCATGAGCTCACAGCTGTACAAAGAGGAACCCGTCCCTGTCTCCAAATAACTTTTTAAAAACGATTTCCAAGTGTTTTTTTTTTTCTCACAATACTTGCTTATACTCTAGACTCACAACTGTAAATACTGTATATTTAACCTATGAAACACAGAAATATTTCTAAATCCAGATATATTTTTAAGAAACACAGATTGGGGCTCCTGGGTGGCTCAGTTGGTTAAGCGACTGCCTTCGGCTCAGGTCATGATCCTGGAGTCCCGGGATCGAGTCCCGCATCGGGCTCCCTGCTCAGCGGGGAGTCTGCTTCGCTCTCTGACCCTCCCCCCCTCATGTGCTCTCTCTCTCTAATTCTCTCTCTCTCAAATAAGTAAATAAAATCTTTAAAAAAAAAAAAAGAAACACAGATTTCACTCCATCCATTAAATCTCTGCTGGTGCGATTTTATTTCTTTGCCCATGTGAACTCAGTTAAAACTTATACTATGCTCACCTTACGCTGACTTAAACTAGACTTTCACACACACAGACTTACATTGGAACCATGTCCAAATGGGGCCCTGGTGAACTATTCACTTTGTGACACACAGTGCCATCTTGAAACTTTATTACTGATAGAGGAAATACTTTTTCTCCTTCTTAAATGGAAGTCCTCTAGGACTCCAAAAGCTACTTCTATTACAAAGAATTTTTTGTTTAAGTGGAAACCGCTTCAAATTATATCAGCTAAAAATTAAGTTCATTTTGCCCAAGGCGGTCAAATGCTTTTCACTCATAGTGAAGGGACATTTTATCGAAATTTATCTGCCACTCAAAAAATGGTTTCACTACTGGGCATTATACTCACTTCTTAGAGAGATACCCAAGGCATTACCAAAGAATTAGCCATTCTCTCCCTCTCCTTCCTCCCGACTCCATGGCAATAAGGACCATCAAATGGGCGAAGAAGCTGATGGTGAGCCAAGTAATCAGGTTCCTCTGTTCCTTATTCAGTTTCAGATCTCCAGAATTCTCTAAGGAGTAGATTATATTCATCCATCTGATTAGGTATATTGAGGACTAAAAAATAGAAGGCCTTGCTTGGTCTATGACTTCAGATCAGCATGGGCTTGACTTAGAAGGACCCAGTCCTGAAAGTTCAACAAAGAACTGACCTGGTCAGTGACAAGTCCTCACTTAGGAATAGTATTTTGCGCCCACCAACCTTATAAAGAGAATCCAATTCTTGTAGCACCAGGCTCCAATCCAGCCCAGAAACGAAGAGGTCTTCGGGGGTACAGAACCCTACCAACCTGCCCCTGTCCCTTCCCTACATGAATCCTGGTATCAGGGCACTGTAAACAGCCTCTCGATGGTTTTCACAGATGTCACGGGTGTCCCTGGGCCCTGTCCCCAGTCATGGGAGATACAGGTACAGACAGGGAAAACCTTCATCGCCTGATCTCGAGGGAGGGAAGGTGCAGCCTTGTGCTCTGAGCAGCTGCGGGAGCCGTGTGGAGCCTCCCCAGCTGTCCCCGGGGCGAGGCTGAGAGCAACAGATCACTCCATGTATTTTTAGATGGAACTCCCTCAATGGCATAATGAGTTTCTTCTTTTAAAAGGAAATCACCCAGGACAGTACAACTCCCCTGATGAATCTGGGCTGTGTCAAAATGAAAAACATATGTGCATTTTCTGAAAATAGAAACGCAGGACTGGATCAAGCAAAATTTGAGAGGACAAAATAATTATTAGTGCTGATCTCAAAAAAAGTGCAGAGTTTTAAAACTGCACTGCCTCCACGTATCCTAATTAACCCAGGGATGTTGTTAAAGAAATTCAGAGACAATTTAATCCTCCAATCTCTAGCTATTAATGGGGGCACATTTTGTCTTGTGCATAATGAGGCCTGGTGGAAATAAGGTTTTTATCACGCAAATACAATGAGAAATAAGCTCTTTATATAAGCTCTTAACTCAGAACCCTGTAGGGAATGGAATATTCAGCTCATACATATAACAACATCATTAGGCTTTGAGAAATCACCTAATTCTCTACATGACACTTTTCTGTATTTAAAATATATTGGAACAGTGCCTTTAATGAATGAATTCTGACCTGAACTGAAGCGTATGATGACAAAGATCAAGGATTTTTTTGGCACTTCTGTCTTTCCCCACACCACCAAACCGTGTGTCTGTGGGAATGTGTTAGATTCTAGCTTTCTGGGTTATGTTTGCTCAGTGGATGCCTCAGAGATTAAGTCTAAGGACTTGTTCTTCTGTGAACAGCAGGGATCCATTTTCAAAAAAAAAAAAAAACAAAAACAAAAACCCAAAGTTTAAAAGTTATTTCACGGGGCGCCTGGGTGGCTCAGTCATTAAGCGTCTGCCTTCGGCTCAGGTCATGATCCCAGGGTCCTGGGATCGAGTCCCACATTGGGCTCCTTGCTCAGGGGGGAGCCTGCTTTTCCCTCTCCCACTCCCCCTGCTTGTGTTCCTGCTCTCGCTTTGTCTCTCTCTGTCAAATAAATAAATAAAAATTAAAAAAAAAAGTTATTTCACAACCATATTCCAAATTGTATTCCATGAATCCTATCAAAACTGAGGCAGGGTCAGGTTTGGAGAAGGTAACAAAGCTTGCCTGGGTAAGAGAGCAGTATAACCCACCAACTATTCTCGAAATCCTTGTCCTTGGAACAGCAGTGTCATTACCATACGTAAGTTAGGCTAGCATACTGATTCTCAGGTTTTCTCTAATTTAAAAAATACATTGTCTCCTCCAAATAGGGACAGAGTCATTGCCTTCATTTCATCTGACCACTGTATGTTCCAGAGACCGTGCTCAGGCTCACTGCAGAGGCCTGAACTTTCACTTACAAGCTGGAGAGGATCCTGGCTCTCCGGGGGCACTCTGCATATCCGTCAAGGCAGATTCTCCAGAACCTTCCCCGGATGACTGACAGGCATCGCCCATTTGTGAGGCCTTCACTGCAACTTGGAGGCTCTCGGCTTAGAAGAAAGAAGAAAGAATACAAAATTTAAAAACCAAATATAAATAGTTTAATCTAGATCAAGGGTTGGCAAACTCTCTCTGGCCTGTGTCCGGTTTTATATGGCCCAGGAGCTAAAAATGGTTTTTACATTTTAAAGAGTTGTTAAAATATACACACAGGTACTTACACATGCACAAAGAAGAATGTGTCCCAGAAATTGTATGTGGCCTGCAAAGCCTGAAATATTTACTATCTGGCTCTTTAGAGAAAAAAGTTTGCCAACCTGCAATCTAGACCAATACTTTAAACATCATTTTATGATAGAAAATTAATAAAAAGATGCACTGTATAAAAAAATCTCGGGCGCCTGGGTGGCTCAGTTGGTTAAGCGACTGCCTTCGGCTCAGGTCATGATCCTGGAGTCCCTGGATCGAGTCCCGCATCGGGCTCCCTGCTCGGCAGGGAGTCTGCTTCTCCCTCTGACCCTCCCCCCTCTCATGTGCTCTCTCTCATTCTCTCTCTCTCAAATAAATAAATAAAATCTTTAAAAAAAAAAATCTCAAATTTAACTTTCAGTATATTAGTCTGCTGAAAAACTTTCTGTAATTCAATTAATTTAAATATGATTTTAGGTATAAAGATTTTTAAATGTATTGCTCAGAAATATTAGCTATTCTTCGAAAAAGAATTTCCCCAACTGTGCCTTAAAAAATATAGATTCCCAATCCTTACCTACACCTACTAGATCACATTCTCCAAGGGAAAAGACAAGGAATTTGCATTTAAACAAGCACCAAAGGCTACTCTTAGGATCTGTTAAGACTGGTAAACACCACACCAAGAAAGTCATGGTTTTATTTACAATAAATGCATTCAATGTGGAATGACATAATTTTGAGGGCCCTACAAATATTTCTAAAACATTATGTCCACTCTTTGAATCTAGCAAATACTCATTGAGCACCTACTCTGTTCCAGGGGGCCATTGGGCATCTGTACCTAATCAGGGGAGTCTGCAGACTGGAGGAGGAAAACACAACATACACATAACTATACACATGGGAGCACGTGATCAGTGTTAAGTTCGATGCCCCAGTTCTTAGAGCATCATAAAATGCTCCAGCAGGTGCCAAGGAGCAAGACCGTTATATTCGCCAGTGGGATTAGGAAAAAGTTCTTAAAGGAGATGAAAGCTGAGCAGAATCTTGAAGGATGAATGGGATTCAAGACGTAGAGACAGAAGAGGAGAAAGGAGAGCAGAAAAGCAGTCCAGTAGAGCAACGACCCAGGGAGACCACTCAAGCTGTGTTACTCAACTATTTATTTTTTTCCCCAAAGATAATGACCTCACCCTGATTAAGAATTCCTGCTAGATCTCTGAGTCCTGATCATCAACGACTCAGGGTGGATGAGGTTGTACCTTAATTGCTCCGTGTTCTCTTGAGCAGCTGGTTCCCCAGCACCAACATCACAGGATGAGCCAGAGGAATTAAAGCAGAGGGATGTAAACTGGGCATCGATGACAGTTTTGATGGTGGGGGGTGGGGGAGGGAGTGAAAGCTACTGGCTAAAATGGAGAGGGGGTGACTTACTCAACAGAGATATTATCAAGGCCAATGAGAAGGTCACTGGTTCTCATGAACCCATTCAGAAGTACTTCTAGCTTTATTTCTAAAATATACCTTGCACCCGTCCACTTCCCTCTACTTCCATTGCCAACATTCCTGGGTCCAGAGCAAAGCCCCAACACCCCCCATCAGCGTGCGTAACTGCCAACCACCCATCTCCAGGCAAACTGGTCTCCGTCCACTCTGCTCTCTTCTCCAGACCTAGGATGGTGCCACACCCATGGTTAAAAGCACCCATAACTTTCCATCAATTTTGGAATAAAATCTCTATTTTTTTAACCAGAGCCTGCAAAGACCTCTCTCTGCGCACCCACACAACCTCACCTCACACGCTTCCTTGACTGTTGTAACCCCGCCTTCCTTCTTCCCTTGAGCATGCCAAGCTCGCTCCACAGACAAGGGCATTATACTCACTTTCTCCCTGCCCAGGAATGGTCCTCCCCTGGATCCCCAGACAGCTGGCTTCTTCTCATCTTTCAATTCTCATCTCAAAAAATCATCTCCCCAGAGAGGTTTTCCCTGACTTCTCTAAAGCAAAGCCTTCGCCTCAGCCCAATCTTATTTTCTTGTGACCTTTGTGAAATTATTTTGTTTCCTCGCATATTGTCTGTCTTCCTCCACTATAAGTTTTTATTTCCCTCTTTTTTTTTTTCATTTAAGTGCAGTTGACACACAATGTTACATTCGTTTCAGGTGTACAACGTAGTGATTCCACAAGTCTATACATTATGCTGTGCTCACCACGCATGTGTAGCTACCATCTGTCACCATGCAATGTTATACGGTATCATGGACTATATTCCCTATGCTGTACCTTTTATCCCGGTGACTTATTCATTCCATAACTGGCAGCCTGTACCCCACTCCAAGTTATAAAAAGTATTAACCCTTTCCTTAGCACCAACAGCAGAGCACAGGGTAGATGCTCAATTAATACTGAATGAATGAATGAAAACGAATGGATGAATGAATGATTCCACCAGTGGACCCCACGTCAGACATCTTCTATGCCCTTCTTAAGACCTCGGTTTCCTTATCAAAAAAAGATCATAGAATGCCATCATTTCTAAATTTTCCTCCAAAGCTGATGTTCCGAGATTCTGAGCCTGAGCTTGGCAAACTTTGTCTGCAAGGGACCAAGATCGTAAATAGTTTAGGCTCTGTGGGTCACATGGTCTCATGGCAGCTATTCATCTTCACCAGTGTTGCAAGAAAGCAGCCACAGATAATAGGTAGACAAGCAGGGGTGGCTGTGTTGCAATAAAACTGTATTCACAAAAACAGGTGGTAGGACACATTTAGTCCATGGTCTGGAATCTACAAAACCTTGTCTGCATTCCCTGCCACTCTCTCAGGTGGTGGCTGTTTTCTCTCTCAAACCCATTAGCCTACTGTCACTTCGAAACTATTATCCCTACCTCCCCAACCCCCCTTTTCCTTTAATTTCGTGCCATCAGATGACACCACTCACTACCCCTTCTTGTTGCCATCCATCTACAGATTCCTTGAACAACTTAGCATCTGGTGCAAGCTCTCTCCCTTCCCCGAATGCTACTCCTGTCAAATTCTCAGAAATTGCCATTTTTATGAACCTAGTCCTCCCAATACCTTGGCCAGGGGTCTATTTAACTTCCTCATTTCCCCAATGATCTTATCCTTCACCCTACCTCAGCCACCAACTCCCAAGGTTGTACCCTAAACTTTATTATTACCAATATTTGCACTTTGCCCCCTTATATAGTCCATTCTCCATACAGCAGAGGGTTCCTTTTAGAACACACATGATGTCACTCTGCTACTCAAACCCTATAATGCTTCCCACAGTGTCCCTCAGAATGAAAGCCGAGCTCCTTACTCACCTCAGTCGGGTCCATGTAATGTGAGTGGTAGTTGGCTCTGACTCATCTGCCACTCCACACCCCTCCCTTCACGCTACCTGCAAGGTCCTCCTTGCTATTCCTCAGGCTTGGCATGCACCTGCCTCGGAACCTTTGCATCTTCTGTTCTCTGTGTCTGGAACAGTCTTTCCCCAGATATCTACTTGGTTTTTTCACTTCTCTGTATCTGCTTACACATCACCTTATCAAAGAGGTCTTTCCTTGTCACCCTAACTCAAATACAACCTCCCCATTCTATCCTCTCTTTATTCCCTATCCTGTTTATCATTTGTTTTTGGTTTTGTTTTTTAAAGATTTATTTTACAGAGAGAAAGAGAGCGTGCACACAAGCGTGTGGTGGGGAGGGGTGGAGGGAGAAGGAGAGAATCTCAAGCAGACTCCCTGCTGAGCATGGAGCCCAACCCGGGGCTCGATCTCAGGACCCTGAGATCATGACCTGGGCCGAAATCAAGAGTCAGAAGTTTAACTGACTGAGCCACCCTGGTGCCCCTGTTTCTTTTTTTAAGTAGGGTTCAGACTTTATTAAAATCTTCACTGAAGCAATTGTCCTCTATAGTTTTCCAAATAAAATGTCTTTATTGTTTTTTTATTGAAGTATAATTAACATAGTTATATTAGTTTCAGGTGTACAATACAGTGATTCAACAATTCTATGTATTACTCCGGGCTCATCATGATAAGTGTACTTTTAATCCCCACCACCTATTACCCAAACCCCCACCCACCTCCCCTCTGGCAACCACCAATTTGTTCTCTGTATTTAAGAGTCCTTTTTTGGTTTTTCTCTTTTTGGATTTGTTTCCTAAATTCCATATATGAGTGAAATCATATGGTATTTGTCTTTCTCTGTCTGATTTATTTCACTTAGCATTACACCCTCTAGGTGCATCCATGTTGTTGCAAATGGCCAGATCTCATTCCTTTTTACGGTTGAGTGAGATTCTATTGTATATGTACACCACTTCTTCTTTATCCATTCATCTATTGAGGGACACTTTTTTGTCTTCATAGTACTTGACACAACCTGACACATCTATTTCCTTTTATTTTGCAATTTCTGGAATATGAATTGTAGTACAGTTGGAACACTGTCTTATTTTGCTATATCCTGAGCACTAAAACCACAGGGCATGACACACAGAAGGTACTCAAACATTTTCTGAACTTGTTAAACCAAACAATTTTGGAAGCAAATTACCTTCTTTCAGTGCTGCTGCTAGTAATGAGGCTGCCTGGGGAGGCTCTCCTGGGTCAGGTTTAATGAGGAGGTGGGGCTCTAGATGGACATCCTCAAATCCACTCAATTCTCCAAGTTCAGCATAGATATGCAGCTTCTCCTCCAAATATGTGCAAATTTGTTGGTCTTGGTTACTGAGTATTTCTATGAAATAGTATTTACCATGGAAGGTTATCAGATGAATATAGCAACTGTATGAAAATCCAAGCTCTAAGATAAAGATGTTCCTCATCAGCAAGCAGTATGGTCTCACAGTCAAGTACAAGTTGTTGGGCAGCCAGAACCAGGTTCAAATCCGAATTATTCCACTTAGTGACTATAGCCCCAGGAAATCACTTAACAACTCTGAGCTTCCATTGTCTTTTCTGCACATTTACTGTACTCAGATGTTTGTTTCCTTTCCCATGCCCCTAATCCCAGAAAAAACTTGCACAACTATTCATTGTTCAGGCTGTTTTCTATTAAGACTAAACACTAAGCTCAGGAATGAAAATTGAGGTGGCACTGTTCAAGATGACTGATATCCACAAGGGAAAACAATGCAAAAGCCCGAAGCTACTCAGGCTTCAGCCCATCTTGGTTAAAACCAAACCTACTAGTTTATGTTTTTGTTTCTAAACGTCCAATTTCTTTGACCAATTTTGCACGCATCGTTTTTCTCTGATTCCAACATATCATATGATTCCTCCAGTTTAAAGGGACCTCAACCAGCATCTAACCCAGGGGTTCTCAGTCTGCTCCAGTATCACCTGGGAAGAGTTTTAAATACTGACATCCACAACCACCTTCCATAGATTCTGAGTGAATTGGTTGAGCGTAGGGCCCAGGCATCAGAATTTTTACAGAACTCCCAAAGTAATTCTGATGTCCCGCCAGAGATGAGACTCACTGAGACTCATCTAATTGCCTTAATTCACGGACTTGGAAACTGACGACCAGAGTTAATGGGTTCCTTGTCCAAAGTCACACCACTGTGACCTGACAGGGCTGGAACCTAAAATGACACCACTGGACAATGACCCCAATGCACAGCTGCACCACACTGCCCACAGCTCTTGTTTCGTATATATTATGCGCCCCTCTTTTTTTTTTGAAAATTTGTTATGTATTTTAAATCACTAAGGAGGAAGGTGGGGGCGGGGGGACAGTCATCTTATTTGAACACTCCTAGTGCCAATACTTCTTGTTCTGAAGAGTGGTGAATGGGCCTCAAGCATATAGAAGTAGATGAACCATTTAACCACAACCTCCCACTCATGACACATGGGCTTTCCCAGCATCCAAGGAGAACAGCACAGCCAAGGGATCAGAGATGTCTGCATGGTACCTTGACATTGCTGAATTTTGGCCACTCTTGCTTCAGCTTTCCGCCTCTCTTCATCAGATTCGCTTGTCCTTCCCCCTTCTTCTTCTGGGCAACTTTAAGAGACAATAGTCAAGACAGACAACTGAAACCAAATCCAAATATCTTTAGGTTCATTAGAAAGACATGGGGACTTGGCGGCAGCATTATTCATAGAAGAAAAATTCAGCATAAAGAGAATTGTTCATGCCCTCTAGCCAAGGTATCTGGTTTTCCTGAGTATACAAAGGACCTTGCACAATATGACATAGCTCTCAAAGTCAGAAGGACAGGCGGACTCAAAAATTCCGACAAACACATACACACAAACATACACTCATGTACACCCCCACACCTGACACTCAACACTAGCATTAGGTCCAACTAAAATACTAAGTTTTGCTTTCTACTACATGTGGGTACTTCTTAATGGGACAGAGGAGAGGTAGTTGGAGGGATCAGAGGGTAGGGTGCCAGGTTGGGTGTGGTGCAGTAGAGGTGGAAGAATTTTATAAAACATCATTCAAGATCGATCTAATCAAATTACCATGAAGAATGATCACCCTCACCCTGTCTCATTTATAAAAACTTATAAAACCACAAGTAATGAGAAGTAAATTGACTTAGAACACTTAGATCCTCCAATCAAAAAAATGTTTATTGAATGATTCTTCAGAATTAACCACAAAGAGAAACAAAAGGCAAAGCCCCTGCCCTCAAGGAGCTTCCAATCTAATAAACACATATACACAGAAAAGGTGATAGCTACAAGGTGGTTTATGACAAGCACCGAGTCAACGCTTTAGAGAGCAGATGATAAAGAATTTCAGGTAAGGAAGAGACCACTGGACTGAAGAGGTCTTCGCGAAGGAGGGAAGCCAGGAGCTGCACCAAAGATGAGCAGGAGTCACACAAGTAGAGGGGAGGTAGGGCTTTGCATGCAGGGAGGTGCAGAGAACAAAGCTGCAGGTGAGAGGCTATCAGAGGCGGGTGCAGGGGGCGGGGAGCAGACCCTTCTGGCTGAAGCAAAGTGTTCATGCAGAGGAAACATGGTTAGAATACTCTCCCAATTGAACAAGTGCATTCCCTAGAGTGTGGACAGAAGGAAATGTTACCTTTCTACTGCCTGTTGGATTCGTCTCATCCAGTTATTTCGTTCCTCCTTGGAGTTGGTATGAATTTCATACATCTCAGGACCAGCAGATGAAGCACTGATCAGAAACATGCCTCTTTCCTCATTAGCAACTTCTCTAGCAATAAGCTTCTGAAGAGAAATAACCGATGGCTTCTGATCCTACATAAAATAGGAAGATGTGCAGGTAAAACAGCATCCTACCAAAACCAAAGGTCTCACCAAACACACTGGCTAAGGAAAACAAGAGTATTAGGCAAATCATTTCACTTCAACCTTTCAAAAGCACTCTGAAAGTTGGTAAGATCTCCAATGGAAAGGACATGGTGAAGAGAGGATGGAGAAAAAGGATACAGGAGAATGTTTGTCCTTAAGAACGAGTGGCTTAAAAGGACAACTTTTAAAAAGAACAATCAGGGGGCGCCTGGGTGGCTCAGTCGTTAAGTGTCTGCTCAGGTCATGATCCCAGGGTCCTGGGATGGAGCCCCGCATCGGGCTCCCTGCTCGGCGGGAAGCCTGCTTCTCCCTCTCCCACTCTCCCTGCTTGTGTTCCCTCTCTCGCTGTGTCTCTCTCTGTCAAATAAATAAAATCTTAAAAAATAAATAAATAAATAAAATAAAATAAAAAGAACAATCAGAGCAGTAAGAATATCAAAATGCCATAGTCCGGGGCTTGGGGGCTTTTCTAGAAGGGCATGGGATAGAACATAGCATCTCAAACATCACAAGGAGACTGAGAGGGGTGTGAGATCTAAGAGACCATCGGATTTAGCAGGATTTAGGGCAGACTGTGAAAATGACAGAGAGGAGGGGGCATGACCTCAGCTTCCCTGAGCATAACCAGCGTCTTCTGCTACCGTAGGACAGAGCACAGCGACTGAACTTCTGTGGTTCCACCTGTGAACGCCTCTTCTTCCCACTAGCCACATGAGCTTCTGGTAGGCAGGAAGGGCTCTGATTCATCTGTGTACGCCTAGCACATTGCTTTGCCTAGAGTAGGCTTTCAATAAATGTCTGTAGAAACGGATTTAGTGTAATTCCATCAGAGCAGAACAGGAAGAAAAGCTAACATCCGGCATACAAGCCCTGACTAAATCACCTCTTCTACGTACATTTACTGCCATCTTTCAAGGTCCCATTCTAAGCACTGGGGATTCAATGATGAGTAAGAGAATACTACTAATTTGGGTTGGGAGCCATAGTTGAAATAATAACCAAAAGAAGGCCTGCAGGAGATAAACAGTTTGGGGGGCTAAGTATGAAGAATTTTCTTTGATCTGTGGCTTTCACCACTGTTTAGAGTCAGTAGCAGTGCATGGTTTGGCTTCTCCTTCTTGGACTGAGTGATCCCTGGACCCAGAACATGTCACGACATGCCGCATGGCTGACTCCTTAGTGCTAATATGTCTGCTTGCCCAGCATGACACAGCTATGCCACATCTAAAGTTGTGTGCAGGGGTGTACCCAGAATACCTCTTCAGCCCATTCTTCTCCGAGCAGCAAAAAACAAAAACCAGAAAATGACAAGTTTTTGAAGACTGCCCTCTCTAATTAGGGCGAGCCCCTGAGCACTATTAATATCCTTCATTCAGTCATGGATATACTATCCAAGACTTCATTTGCTTTCCTTCCTTCAGTGCAAGAGTTAGGCTCCGCAGCTTACAAGGTAAATGGCCTCTGTATATAAAAGGCAGAGTAGGTTTAAATTGCTTCAGACATTAGCAAGGATGAAATTATCTGAACCAGTTGGCTAGTGCTGCAGAAGGAGGGGAGGTGGTAAGATCAGATATTTTTTAACTGAAAAAGAGGTAAGCAGGTAGAAAGTAGCATTAATTAAATCACCATCAGATGAGGAGACAACAGGGGCATGTCCATCATTATTCATATTAATCACACAAGAACACTAGAGATGATCAAGAGTTCAAATTAAACTTCTAGGAATGGAAGTAATGGGTCTACCTTAGAAACAGATGTTAAAAATTGGTCATGCCAAGGCCTAACCCAGATGATCAAGAGTTCAAATTAAATTTCTAGGAATGGAAGTAACGGGTCTACCTTAGAAACAGATGTTAAAAATTGGTCATGCCAAGGCCTAACCAAAGCCTAACCCAGCAGGGGTGTTTGTTTGTGCCACAGTATTTTAAAAACAGATTTTTTTTTAATAGTCACCAACATTTAAAAACTGGGGGATTTCCCCTTAACAACAACAAACCAGTAGTTGTAGGGGACCCTGGAAAAAGCAGACTGGCAATCCTGGGCCCATGTACTCATGTGAACACACGGGCTGTCACTGAGTAATCCCTGCCCTCCGGGAGACAGGCCATGTTCTCACCAGGTCACTATAGTCTCTAGCACTCGCTATGGGATCCTGGATCCCAAGCACACTCCCAGTTCCCTCCTATATGTTTCCTGCCAAACCCTTGAGGCAGGCTGACAGCTTCTGCCCCCGGGGGAAGAGGAAAAGGAGCCGTCACATTTAGCCCTGTTGTACATTAACCCCATCTCCATTTGGGATTCCGCGGAGTGGCGGACTCTTCTAGTAATGCCATTCAAAGTCCTGCTGTGACCGCTTCCTGTCTTGAACGTGAACTTGCACATCTCCATGTTCCCTTGTCTTTTTTATTGTTCATTTTGAAATTACCTTCTCTAATATTTAAGAGATCCTTCTAGACTCAGTAATCCAGGATTTAATGAATTTATCTATTTTTTTCCTATTCATTTCATAGATTTGGGTCCTACTCCCATTTCCAGCTAAGTCCTCTTTAAAAGCAAAATTCTCTTGTAGGGACTCCATTTTTCTGCTGCTCATCTTCTGGCCATGTCCAAATTCATCATGTCTTTTGTAACATGTTGCAAGTTAAGCATTTCCTAAAGAGGTTTTTCTAACAGCACGAAGAGCAGAGAAACTTACCTGTGGGTATTAGCATCAAGCTAGCTTTCTCCAATGCCAAGGTGAGAACCAGGAAATCCAGACATTTGTATAACCCTAGCTAATATAGCAATTCCCTCAAGCAATTCCCTCGAGCTAATATAGCAATTCCCTCAATATAGCGTAAATAAGATATTTATGACTGGAGGGCTATACTAACTAAATGTCTACGATGCACCTCAAAAGCATATGCTTGAACAGTACAGTGCCCTTGAGTCCTTAGGGATAATGCTTTCTATTTTGCTCCCTGACATGGAGAAGGGCTTGGCTGGCTTTTATGAAAGCTGCTGTGTATCAGGCTAGCAACTCCGTGAAACAGTATCAGCACCATCTTACTGTTGTCCAGAGCCAAACCCCTTCTCCCGAGAGGAACAAAGCTGCGGCTGCCTTCGTTCTGGCATTTGGTGGACTACACTCCTAACATCCCACTTAATGGCAAGCGTAGTCTAAGTCAGGCACAGATAACTCTGGAAGAAGTCACATAGGAGGGACAGATCCATATTTCAAGTAGTAACTATAAAGTGAGCATCACACTTTCATCTCAATCCATATGCTATGTTGTCCTAGAAAATAAGATAGTTGTCTTTATGCTGTGTCTAATCTTTGACCCATCAGCAGGTCATCTTGGCCTGTATTAACACCCAAGAAGGCACAATTGGTTTCTCTTTCAGCTCTCTGGTTTTGACCAAACTTTTGTTTCTATAAAGGTGTGGTGTGAATTTGTTTTCTCTTCTAGCATGGTCCTCACCTCCCACAGGACAAACAAAATGGTTCCACCTTCCTACTTACTTTCTCTCTATTCACAGCATCTCAGATAATAGCACAGAGAGACTGCTTGACAAATCAGTGGCTTGTCATGAAATCTGCAATATATACAATTCAAATGTATCAGAGCCATGGGGACTTGTCTAAGGCCTCTTGCTGTCCTCTGGAGTAGCTTTGTGAAGCCATCTCTGACCTTTATACAACCTGGCATCGGTGTGCTGATGAAACCAACGTGCTTAACAAGATGAAGAAGCCTACTGGGCCAACCTGACAAGCACAGGTGGGCAGGTGAGGCACTCCACCGACTCTCCCTCCCCCAGATCCACCCGTGGGCAGGCAGGCTTCTGCGTTTTCTCTGAATTCGCGAAACAGAAACTTCATTAAGCTCTGAAGGTGCTAAAACCAGTTGGAATTGATAACATCTACTAGTGGTTCCCAAATGTCCTCTCTGCCAATGGATGATAAGTAAGAACCATTTTAGAGCGCCACCATTATAATGCCCACATTGGTACTGCCTCTTGGATTCTTTCCTTTAACAGGGCCTAATGCTCCATGAGGCTGACGAAGTTAATTGATGACATCTTCCTTCTTTAAGTGAGACATTTTGGACCACAAGATGCTGGGTAAAAAATGTTACAAAACACTGGTTTTACTTCTAGTCTAACTCTATGCCAGCCATGAGATTAATGTAACATGCTATAAAGATAAATTTTACATGAATAATCTTAGTAATTAGTAGTCATTGTAGTAGAAACAAAATCTCCTTTAAACTTTAGGAGAGGAACAAGGAACAACATCACCACAGTGATGTTCTCTTTTTGGCAGAAGGAATATCATGATAGTTATGAATGGGGCTAGCTACAGGTACAGCAGGGAAGGACCAATGGAAACAGAACAAGATCCTGGAAGAAACCCACTGTTCCCAGCATTAAACATTTGAGTGGCTGGGAAGGCATGGTCAGGAAGGGGGTGGGAGAGATCTGGAAGATATACCAAGATGGCCAGAGGACAGCAAGTCACTTGAGGGACTTAGGCAAGTGCCTGTCCACCAACCAGTCCCAAAGTACTTCAGTATCTTTACATTAACAATTGACAATTAAATTAGCAATTAACAACCACTCCTGGCTATAAATCAACACTTTGCACGCTTTTTAAACCAAATGAGATGCTTCTTACTGAACACTGCAATCACCAATACTAATGGAATATAAGGGGTATACTCTTGCCAATGGCTACTTAATTTCACAAGGACTTTCAGGCATTTTTCAAAGATATGTGGGACTCAACTATTTAAAATATGCATCACATGGCCGTATACTTACAACAGCAGCAAAGATGTATTTCTGGTCTTTTTCTTGTAAAAAGAGCAGCACATCAGTTAGAAGTAGAGCCAGGATATCTTCAAAGAAAAGATATTACTAGTATTAACGAAGGAAACCACAGTTCAAATGCCTTTATCAAATATTCTGATTTTATGGTGGAAACTTAAATCAATTTATTAAAAATAAGACTAAGATTTAGTCTAATTATGGAACTTTTATAAAAATGCCTGTATTTATGATAGCCAAAGAGAAACTCTACAGACAGATTAGCTGTGTTTAAGCATGCATGTTTGTGTTACTCTAGGTATCACTAAATCTCCAGCAACATTTAATACTGGAGCTTTCAAAATGGAAAAGAAATATCCAACAAACAAAAGTTCTAATAGAATGGAGCAAACGCTTACCTTTAGAAAAAGAACCTTAATCATAACTGTTAGAGGGCAGCTTCTGCCTTGAATTATGTACACAAATCTGTTGAATCATTCCATCTAGACCTGAGCAGAGTTTGCGATCCTATACGTTGCCCCCAAATTGTTCACAGGAACCCATCTCTACTAGCCGACTAAACATTCTAACAGAGTTAGCAAACTGCTGATGTGATGAAATGGACCAAGAGCAGAGGACTTGTAGCACTGGGGTCTACAGACTGGTTAATAATTTAGCTTGGTTAATGTTCTAACTGCGGTTCATGTTTAATTGCAACATTGCTGATCAACAAATCCCATTTCAGTCATTAGCTGCAAAAACCATGAAAACTTGATAATCCTCCCAAGGGTTACCTCTGAGCTACCTTGGAGTAACTAGTTACCTTGGAGTAACTAAAACAACCTCTTCCTCTCACTTATCTGAGGAAGTTATTAAGATACATTAAAAACAGGGAGAGCAGACTGGTGGTTCTGAACCCTGGCTGCACAGCAGACCCACATGGGGGCCTTTAAGCATCCCTATGCTTTGTGTTCATCCCCAGACCAATAAAATCAGAATCTCTGGGAGAAGACTTGAACATCGGTAATTTTTTTAAAGCTCCCAAGGCGATTCTTTTTTTTAAATTTTTATTGTTATGTTAATCACCATACATTACATCATTAGTTTTAGATGTAGTGTTCCATGATTCATTGTGCATAACACCCAGTGCTCCATGCAGAACGTGCCCTCTTTAATACCCATCACCAGGCTAACCCATCCCCCCACCCCGCCCTCCCCTCTAGAACCCTCAGTTTGTTTTTCAGAGTCCATCGTCTCTCGTGGTTCGTCTACCCCTCCGATTTCCCCTGCTTCATTCTTCCCCTCCTGCTACCTTCTTCTTCTTCTTCTTTTTTTTCTTAACATATATTGCATTATTTGTTTCAGAGGTACAGATCTGAGATTCAACAGTCTTGCACAGTTCTATAGTGTGTGATCAGAGTTGAGAAAGCCTGGATCAACCAAGATGCTACCTATCGAATCAGTCCTTTAGAACTGAATAAATGGTTTTAGACTCTACCTAGATTAACAGAGTCAGGTTAATGCCAGTTAATGCCAAACAGCAGCACTGAGGAAGAGTTTGTACCACTGCGAGCATGTATATTTCTGCATCTTATTACTCAGTAAGAAATTCGACATTCAGAGCTCATGTCTCCCCTCACGCATGTGACAGCCCCCAGCTGGCTTGGCACATAGGCTCTAGGTGTGTAGGCGTACTGTCTCATTCTCAACGCACTACATTTGCCAGAGTAATATTTCCGTGCCAACAATTAGCAGAATTCTCAGCTCCTTTGACTCCAATTTCCCAAACTGTAAATTCATAAAACGTATATGAAGGTTTTTGCTTGGGGCAGCAAAATATGTAGCATTTGCCTATTGAAGTTCATGACTTGATTCTTTCCCACTTCCCCAGGGGTCGTGTGTGTGCCTGCCATCTCGGAACCACTCTTCTTTTGAAAATCTGTCCTGTTAAATGAGTAACATATGTCAAAGGAGGAGAAATAATACCTTTGAATCGACCCGTAGCAGTTTTCCAGTAAACAAGGCCATCATGTAAGAGAGTCCTTTCTTTACTTATCAGTGCTTGCTTCCTAAACACATGGCCATTTTTGAGCTTTGTGTAGGTTTTGTTTTCGATCTTATTTAGGATCTCAAGCCATTTTTGATTTTTCTCATACTCGTTGACTTTTAAATCCACTGCTGCAATCATGTCTTTAATTAAGCACAGAGCTTTGCACAAGTCTTTATGTTCTTCACTTCTTTCTGCGTGGGAAAAAGAAAGAACACCATAGAATAAGCCAGAGTGCTGAGGAAGAATTTTTTTTTTTTAGGTTTAAATGCAATTAAATTCATACAAAGAGCAAAAATCACACAACAAAAATGTTGGATTAGGTTCAAATACCTTATTATCACTCTGCACCCTTTCTCCCCAAAAAGAACTGTTACAAGATTTAATTATAAAAGATTTATTTATCAGATATGCTTGAGATGAAATACTATCAGTAACATGTCCGAGTTCTAAAGACAGGTCTGACCTTCCCCAAGAGTAGGGAATATGTTATATACTAACCTAGGCTTTCTTTCCACCTTCTCAGACACAGGTAATCAAGTGATCCCTTCACTGAATTTCTTAGAACTCAGCCAAGCTGCAGGCCCAAATGAGGGTCCTCTCATGAAAGGGAGATGCAGAGGGACTTGGACTCATTTGCCTTCCTGGGTCTCACCCTCCATAAAAAAATATTCAAAATGGTATTTGAACATTTTTTCAACCTAAAAAAATGGGACAAGGCACTGTGCCTAGTGGGTCAGCCATACTCATGCCAACAGTAGACAATCATCAATTCCAGTGGTTACTCTTTAAAACACTGGCCATCTGTTCGTATCTCTCAATTATCTTAAGATTATTTAAGATTATTTAATTATCAATTATTTAAGATTTTATTTATTTACTTTGACAAAGAGTCAGCAGCGAGAGAGGGAACACAAGCAGGGGGAGTGGGAGAGGGAGAAGCAGGCTTCCCACGGAGCAGGGAGCCCGATGCGGGGCTCGATCCCAGGACCCTGGGACCATGACCTGAGCCGAAGGCAGTCGCTTAACAACTGAGCCACCCAGGCGCCCCTCTCTCAATTATCTTAAGAAAAAGCTCTGGAGGAGTTTCTGGAACAACCTCCTAGAACCCCAGATGACACTGAATTTAACTACTATCTTATTGGATGATAAGGAAAACCTAGTTCATGTTTACTGAGGGAAACCAAAGAGAAAGCTTCAAGAGGTCAGAAGGTGCCAGAAGGAGAAAAGAAAAACTGGCAGAGAAAACAAACCCTATGGCAGCAGAAATCAACGCACAGAAACAGCAGTCAAGTGAGATGAGAACAAATCCTCAAACAGTCTGAACATTTCCAGGTTCTCAGTGTCCTACATGCATGAAGGTTGTTCCAGAAAATCAAGGAACAGATCCTGACAGGGATCTTTCACAAGGAAGATGCTTTCTTTCTCGCTGTCTGTGAAAGTATCCTCTTTCCTACACTTACCAACCCGCAAAAGGTTCTCCTTTCCAAAGAGCGTATTTCATAAATAGGAACGGGGAGTAAAGAAAATCAAAGTTGAGTTACAAGGTAACTTGGGGTGAGACCAAGAAAAGGCTTAGTCTTTTGACCATCAGGGACAAATTACTGTCTTGTAATGGCGGGCTACCCTAAGTGATGCAACATCGGCCTCACCTGGGAGTCTTGCTAGGGACCTTGGGTTGCACCTCAGACCTCAGTGAAGCAGAATCCAAGATCTGCAGGAGAGGACTATGCCTAATGAAGTTTGAGAAGCACTGCCCTAACTGAGTCACACAAACCAATGATCCCAGGAGCCAGAGAGAGCAAGAACGGACCACTGGTAAGATCTGACCTAAGGAAGCAGTGTCCATTCACTCAGCCATCATGACAGCTATACCCGGAAAGCCCTAAGTCATGCTGATCATTTCTGACACGCAGTAGTTAATGACTGTTATTCGGTCTACCAGGAATTTGGCATGGGATAATTCTTAGAGTAGCAGTAGCTGACTTAACACAATCTGGCAGATTTTAGTCTTTGAGGTATTGTATTTAACTCTACCCTTAAGACAATATGAACATCGTACAAACTGAAAGCCTTAATTTTGTTTTCATTATTTTGCTGAGAACAACATTTATGAGGCTTTTCTCTCCATATTGTGCTGATATTTTCTTTTACGTTGAATTACAGGGAGCACTAAAAATGGGATACAAGGAACTGAGGTTACCATTCCTGCCTGAACTTAGTTCTTAATGTGACTGAAAAAAGGAAACACTAATTCATGTATTTCTATATGCCTAGACCGCTTCCCCAAAAAAGGATGTTAGAGGTTAACTTTTTAGAGGGGGCATTTAAGATCTCATTACCCCTTTCATTACGTCCAAGTCAATTGGTCATAACGAAGGTAATAAAAACAGCTCCCACTGGGTGAGTCCTTTGTTTACACCAGGCTCTGCTCTGGGCATTTTATGCAACGATCTCATTTAATCCTCACAACAATTCCCTAAGGATTATTAGTCTCACTTAATAATGGAGAAAACCGAGGCTCCTTTAATGAATGTGCCCAACAAATGAGCCGCAAAACCAGTATATGCAATAGCAATGCAAGTTCACATGATTCCAAACCCAGGCCCTTGTTAACCAAACACACCACCATCCGACAAATAATTTACTCAAGATCAATAAGCTAGCTGGAGGAACAGGCATTTTTATTTATTCGTTCATTGCACTGGTATGTTCTTATTTATTGATAGACTCTTCTGTACCAGTCACTGCACTAGGCATTCAAGATCCAGTTGTGAACCAGACAGACACAGGCCTTCTCAATCCTTTAAGGAGCTTACGGTTCAGCCATGTGCATTATTAGCTTCTTAAAAGATGCCTAGATGTTACCCCTGGAACTTGATGAACTGACAGAGTGAAAAATAGCTCCCTCAAAAATCATTCTCAATCTAATAATTCACTGCTTGGAATATGTGACATCTGGTGATAGGATCCATGGGGTATGTTTCAACAGACTACTGACAAGGTAACGGGAAGATGAGGAAGCAGAGGTATTAAGAAGATCTGGACACAGGGAAACTGAAGAGGGGATAGGCGGGTTCAAAGTACGAAGAACACTACTTGGCTTAGGCTGCCTGGAGCAATTCAGACTATTGCCCAAGCTACATAATAAAAAATATCTTCTCAAAAAGGATCCAAATCCCAAGACTCTAAAAGTTTTTCCCTAATCAACAATCTTCATAAATCACAGGCCACAAGCATTTGTATCTGTTGATGACACCTTGGCTATGTTTAAAATTAATGCAAGAGGCAAATGTTTATCCCAGAAGTTATGACTCACCCTTTGTGTACTGCAAAATCCTTTCCACCAGGACAGGGTATTTTGTGATGCGCTGAGTGACTAGCAGAATGCATTCTGGAATTCCTCGGCGTCGAGCCAAAAGATTATTATTTCGAAGCTTAAAAAATACATATATACATTTTTATATACACAAACTGTGTTTTCTTTTTAGGTCTGAGTTTAATAATACAAAGAATCTGCCATTACATCATTCTATTCAGATACAACGTAATATGCATTATCATTAAAACTTGATTCATTGTCGGGGCGTCTGGGTGGCTCAGTCGGTTAAGCCACTGCCTTCGGTTCAGGGCATGATCCTGGGGTCCTGGGATCGAGCCCCACATCAGGCTCCCTGCTTAGCGGAGACCCTGCTTCTCCCTCTCCCTCTACCTGCTGCTCCCCCTGCTTGTGCCCTCTCTCTGTCAAATACATAAATAAAGTCTTTAAAAAATAAAATAAAACTTGATTCATTGTCATTAAATTGTACACTTTGTCATTAATCTATCAATAATCTCACTCTCGAAGACTAAGAAGTTTCAAGTTACATTGATATATTTGCAGTTAATTCCAAAAGTAAGCAAGTTTCACTAAGTGTTAAGATTTATGAAGAGCAAAAGTTCTGGAAAATATTCACAAATCAAAGTCATATTTTGAGTGTGAGTTTGCAATTAACTGTTGGTTTTTCTAACCAGTCTTCCTCTACATTTGTTATTCTTTATCACAGCACTTACAATTCCCTCTAATCAGGTCAACTTTTTTCCTAAAAATTTCATAGTATTCTTTAAGTTTTCAAGTTCTCAATACTCATGTATGGGGTGTGGGGGAGGGGGAGTATCTCCTAACATTCTCAAAATAAAAGAAAAAATGTATAATCCATCTAACTCTAAAGGACAAATTTCTTCAACACATAAACTGAACACCAAAAAATAAATAAAGGGATGGGGAACAATCAAATTAAAAGAGATTTAAAAGATACAACTCTGATACACAATATGTAAACTTTAGTTGGATTCTGATTTAAGCAATCCAATTTCATTTTTTAGGGAAATCTGAATACTGACCAGCTGTCTGAAGATATTAAAGAATAATTCTTACCTTAATTGTGCTAATGTCATTGTAATTTTTAAAAGATGCATTGTTTAGAAATACATATTACATACATGTGAAATTATATGATGTTCTGGATTTGCTTCAAATTAATCCGGGGGGGTGGGGTGGATTCTGTATTTTCACTAAGGTTCTTCTGATTTATTACTTCTCAGGACATAAAACGACAACCCAGGATATTACAAAGGTGCTCAGAAGGTTGGAGGACACTTTACAAATATAAGATACAAAAGGAAATAATTTGGGAGAAATATTGTACTAAGACAGAAAAAGAGATTTTCCATCTTTGCCACAGGCCTATCTCTTTCTTCTCCTTCCTTTGAAAATCAGCACCTCGATGTGAAACTTGTTAAGGTCATGTAACAAGAAAGCACGAACTATTTCCCTGTGCTGGCTTACCACTTTGCAATAGTTTAAAAATACTTGCCTTAATAAAATTCTGAAACTTTTTATTTTGCTGGAGTTCTTTAAAGAGGTTAACAGCTTCTTTGTGATGGCTACAGAATTCTCCATATATTTTCTTCATTTGATTTGCATTTTCTTCTGAAAACTGAGAATGACATTTCAATGATGGTTTATAAATTTAATTAGTTTTAAACACTGAAAAGAACATGCAATTTTCATATATTTCAACATATTTTTGGCAAATAAAGAATAAACATAAAATTTCTGAACACAATCCCTTCTTTTCCCCAGACACCTTTTAAATTAAACTAAGAAGTTGCCAAGAGGTAGGGGGAAGACATCAACCTACTGGGGTTATACGCTATTGGACTAATTCAATTATCACATTGCCAAATGAAAAACATTTGTTACCTTTTATTCTTTTTTAGGTGTTTGTACAACTTTATCATTTCAAGTTATTGTTCTAGTACTTTGCTAGACTGAAGAAAAGCTATGTTGCAACATTTGGGGGTGCTCAAGAAGGTCTGACCTCTCATGGGTTGACATTTACATTTGGTGAACTGACCATGTCCATGGACTCAGTCCTCAATTTGGAATTTGATTTTTGTCAATACATCACAAAAGGGAAAGGCAGGTAAAAGGGAAAGATGAATAATCGGAATGCCAATTTATTAACTAATGGACCAAAGTAGAGATATGGGCTGGATATTTCTTTTTTTTTTTTTTTTTTTTTTTTTTTTTAAAGATTTTATTTATTTATTTGAGAGAGAGAATGAGAGACAGAGAGCAGGAGAGGGAGGAGGGTCAGAGGGAGAAGCAGACTCCCTGCTGAGCAGGGAGCCCGATGCGGGACTCGATCCCAGGACTCTGGGATCATGACCTGAGCCGAAGGCAGTCGCTTAACCAACTGAGCCACCCAGGCGCCCTGGGCTGGATATTTCAATAAGCTTAACTTGTGCAAACATCTCTGTAGAAACTTCTAGATGGGAACTAAATCAGATTAATAAGGTGGCATGGAGGAAACAAACTGAATTACTTGAATGTCAATGTTTTACCCTCTACCACATTCAATATTATCCCAACAGAAACTAAAACACAGCCACCCAGCCCCTGACAAGTACTTCAACTTACATCCCCATCTCTGATCTTTTCATCTTTGCTTACGGTTTCATCTATGCTTGAGGCAAGTATGTCTCAAGAGCTGATTCTTAAATTAACTATGATTGCTAAAAACAAGACAGAAACAAAAACAAACAAACAAAAACTTAGATACTAAACTAACAAAGTATACACAGGCCTTCTATGCTGACAACTATATAATGCTGGTGAAAAAAAATCAAAGATGTAAATCAATGGAGAGATATATCACGTTCATAGATTGGAAGACCCAACATAGTAAAGATGTCAATTTTCCCAAATTGATCTACAGGTTTAACGCAATCCTCCTCAGAATCTCAGCAAGTTTTTTCTTAAAAAAACATACAGACAAGATTATTATACAATTTAGATGGAAAGATAAAATAAAAGCTAAAAACCATTTTGAAAAAAAGTCAAAGGACTCAGTCTACTCAATTTTAAGACTTATTATATAGCTATAATAATTAAGACTGTGTGAAAGGACAGACACATAGATTAGCGAAACAGAGTAGGAGCCCAAAATGTCCAGTGGATTTTTGACAGAGGAGCAAAAACAATTCAGTGGAGCAAGGATGGTACTTCCAACAATTGGCATTGGGGCAATTAGACATCCATAGATCAAAAACAAAAAGTGAATCTTGACATGTGGCTCATACCTTAAACAAAAATTAACTCAAAATGGATCACAGACTTAAATGTAAAACACAAAACTGTAAAACTTTTACAAAAATACACAGGAGAAAATCTTTTGAGATCTCAGGCTAAACAAAAAGTTCTTAGACATAAAACCAAAACCATGACCTTTGAAAAGAAAAACTAAAAGAATGGACTTCATCAAACTCAGAGAATGAGAGAACAAGTTACAGACTTAAGAAAATGTTTGTAAATCACATAGCTGACAAAGGACTAGGATCTAGAATATATAAAGAAATTTCACTATTCAACAGTAAGAAAACAAACGATCCAATTAGAAAATGGTCAAAAGACATGAGCCAACCTTTTATCAGAGAGGATATACAGATGGCAAATAAGCACATGAAAGATGTTGAACATCATCAGATATGGGGGAATTATAATTTAAATCACAGTGAGTTATCCATATATGTCTTTCAGAATAGCTAAAATGAAAAACAGTGACAATGCCAAATGCTGGTGAGGATGCAGAGAAACTGGATTACTTGTAACTGTTGATGAGGATGTAAAATCGTACAACCACTCTGGAAAATAGTTGGCAGTCTCTCACAAAATTAAGCATGCAACTACCATACAATCCAGAAATTAAGACACCCACATATTTATCCCAGAGAAATGAAAACTATATACACACACACACACACACACAGACATATATATATGTATCTTTAAGCATATTTGTATCAATGAACTTAACTCCTCCATTTTTAGTAAATAAACCAACAGCTGAACTCTATTAGTGTGCGCTACACAGTGAAATGGATTCAAAATCAGTCTTTTGGAGAAGATGGCATTTTGGTATTTATCAAGAGAAAGCCAAACTAAGCTAACTAGGGGGCGCCTGGGTGGCTCAGTTGGTTAGGCGACTGCCTTCGGCTCAGGTCATGATCCCGGAGTCCCGGGATCGAGTCCCGCATCGGGCTCCCTGCTCAGCAGGGGGTCTGCTTCTCCCTCTGACCCTCCTCCCTCTCATGCTCTCTGTCTCTCATTCTCTCTCTCTCAAATAAATAAATAAATAAAATCTTTAAAAAAAAAAAAAAAACTAAGCTAACTAGGGATGCCTCTCCATGACTTTCCCCAAGTGCTCCAAGGGACTGCAAAACATGGCATTCAAGCGAATTCCCTAGTGTTTGGTTCCTAAGTGACCCATTCATTCAATAGATATTTATGGGACCAAGCACTGTTCTAAGTGAAATTAGTTTGATGAATTATTAAATGAAATTCATTAAATAAATGAATACATTAGTAATCAAATCAACAAGAATCCCTGCTTTACTGGGACTTACAAACTAGTGATGATAAAAAGCTTCCCCAGGTGTCACTAAAGAGGTCTCAAGAAATCATATGCCTAACCCATTGTTCAGAGAGCAGATTTTGATTCAAACCTCAGTCAGGCTACTTAGGAGATAAGTGAACTTGAGAAAACCATTACTACCTTCTCCATGCCCCGGTTTCTGTATTCGCACAATGGGGAAGATAATATCTACCCTATATAGAGAGTGGTGAAGGGAAAGGAGGTAGTATACATACAAGTACTCAGGAAACTGCTCGCTCTATGAGGGTCACTGAATACATGTTATTTAACTTCTCTATTACCATCTATATCACAGAAAACCCCTTGCAAAGGGATCAGAAGGCCAATACGAATTATCAAAACTTTGTTTTCTCTTTTCTATTAGAAGAGTAGCACAGTCCATTCTCACGATGCTTCAAACATCCCACACACCTAAAAAGTGCCTCCTTTTAGTGACATGTGCTGTGTTGTCCCCCAGGCAGGAACACTAAGGCTTTAATGATAACAGATCTTCCTCCCTCTTCCTAAGATGAGCCAACATCCATCTTGACGATAGTGGCATGACTACCACGGTTCCATGGGGGGAGCCCTGTTATCACAGAGCCACCACATCAAGAAGTCTACACAGAATTTTCATAAGAAATTTAGATATGACTGTGACTCCTGGTGGAGAGAGGGATGGGGATCATCCCACCAGGTCCTGAGACTCACAGAAGTCAGTCACTGGCTGGTAAAGCTCTCAGCCACCAGGCACGCAAAGGGGTATCGAACAAAAGAAAACCAACCAATCCCATCTGGCAGTAATGGTAAAGCAATTCCAGTTCTTCACAGGCTTTTAACATTGTAGAGAATCAGCAAACCTTTAGGTTTCTGAGGTTAGGGCCCTTAAAACCTCCCTTACCTGCTGCACTAGAATATCTCCAATTCGGTTGATGACGAAATTCCTGTCATCACCAGCACAGGACTCCTGCCTTCGCTCCTTCATATTATAAAAGAAATGCCTATGGATTTCAAGTAACTCATCTAAGCAGGGGAAGATTTTATCCACGGTGCTGTGATCAAGCTGCAGCTCCTCCTTCATTCCTTTCCTGAAGATCTCAGACATGATGAGCAGGGTCTGGATATGATGCATCTCTGTTTGCATCAGCTCTGAAACACACAGGCAGAAAGAAGCTTGGACAACGAAGTACTCCAGTGACCTACATTAGCGGCTAAACACTGAATGTTATACAAATTAAAAAAAAGGGGGGGGGGAATGTTTATGAACAATGACATTCTTCTGCTATAAAAGTCAGCATTGATCCCACTTTCTCCAGAAGAAAACAGAGTGTGATGATCAAGGGACATTGTGGATAAAGTGAAAAAACAGCCCACAGAATGGGAGTCAGATCCTTCTTCAAGGCCTCCATGCTTGCTGTTCCAGCTGCCTGAGATGTTTTCTTCCCCAATCCACCTAGCTCCTTCTTAAAGTCGTCCAGGTCTCTTCGAATATTACTTGTCTCTTAAGTCTCCCCTGTATGCCCTAACGTTTCATAGCCCTTGTCCCCCTGTTTGATATGTATTTTTCTTTTCAGCACTTATCACTACCTACAACCTATTATGTATTCTACACATACCTGTACTACACTGTAGGTTATGTCCTCTGTCTTCCCACAGCAAAATGAGTTCATGAGAGCAGAAAATCTGTACATTCTGCTCGCTGTTATTTCCCCGGTTTCCAGACTTAATGCCTGGCATACAATAGGTGCTAATATTTGTTGGAAAGTATACAGTATTTTATATATTTCTCAGAACCAAGATAAGTAGATGTTCTTATCTGTACTTCTAGATGAATAAACTGTGCCAAAAGGTTGTACATAACTTGCTCTAAACCTCAAAGCAAGTAATGAGGCTTCTTTGAAAGAAGAAAAGGTGAAGGAGGGCAGTGGGCCAGCCTAGGGAGAGAGATCAGACTTCTTATGTGGGTAGAGTCAATAGACAGAAACTAGGAGAGAGGAATTTCAGATCTTAGCACAGATTAATAGATTTAAAATGCAATGTCTATGGAAAGAGTTTCTAGAAAATGGAGGTGTTCAAGAAAAATGTGTATGATCAGGTTACCGGGCTATGGCAACGATGATTTAAATACTACAAGGAACATGGAATCAGATGTTTTTCAATGACCTTACTTGGTCTTCAAATATCAATTTTTAATAAAGTGTGGCTGCCAATGATGCTAATTACTAAGCTCCTGTGGAAAAAGTAATGCTGGCATTTCCAGTAAAAGGACTGAAAAAAAATTTTTTAATGCAAGAAAAATATCTCATAAGGGACTTGCATCCAGAGTATAAAAACAAGTGTTACAACTCAACAGTAAAAAGACAAAATGAACAAAAAAACCCACTTCAATAGGGGCAAAAGATTTGAACAGATGTTTCTCCAAAGAGATATACGAATGACCAATGAGTACATGGAAAGATGCTTAACATCATTAGCCCGCAGGAAAATGCAAATCAAAACCAAAATGAGACACCACTTCACACACACTAGGCTAACTGGAATAAAACAGGTGGACAATAAAGAAGTGTTGGTAGGGATGTGGAGAAAGCAAAATCCTCAGTATATCACTGGTGGGTGGGTAAAATGGTAAAACATCTACTTATCTTGGTTCTGAGAAATACATAAAATACTGTATACTTTCCAACAAATATTAGCACCTATTGTATGCCACGCATTAAGTCTGGAAACCGGGGAAATAACAGTGAGCAAAATGCACAGATTTTCTGCTCTCATGAACTCACTTTGCTGTGGGAAGACAGAGGACATAACCTACAGTGTTTGGAAAACAGTCTGACAGTTCTTCCCATGGGTTGAACATAAAGTTACTATGTGACCCCAAAAGTGGCAATAGTCCAAAATGACCATCCACTGATAAAATGACCATTAAATGATAATTAAATAAAACATAGGATATTTACAGTAAAATAATTTACAGCCATAAAAAAGAATGAAGTATTGATATACAACACAGATGAACCTTGAAAACAATATGCTAAGCACAAGAAGCCGCCATATATCATACAACTCCATTTATGCCAAATACCCAGAGGAGGAAAATCCATAGGGACAAGCAGATGAATGGCTGCTGGGGCTAGCGGGAGAAAACACGGGGAGTGAATGCTAAGGGCACAGGGTTTCTTTTTGGAGGAATGCAGATGCTCTGGAATTAGACAGTTGATGGTTGCACAACTTCATGAACATACTAAAAACTACTAAACTCTACACTGTAATGGAGTGAATTTTATGGTATATTAATTCTATCTCAATTATAAAAATGCATCACGAGGGGAAATAATTCATGATTTGTGGGAGAACCATAAGTACAATTCTAGATTAGTATTTTAGACTCAGATATTAGGAAGACTCTAAAATATTAGCCATGGAGGGTAAACAAATCTCAATGTAGCTTTATTATTTTATCATAAACAAAAATCTCTTTAACCCACTAACTTCAAGTTATTATTTCCTGCCATGTTTTTCGCACCTACTCTGTACTAAAAGCACTTATTCATATCGATTCATTTAATCCTTTTATCTAATTATCCATTATGACCCAAAAAATAGGAATGATTTTTCTCATCCTTTGAAGAAAGACAACGAAGGGGAGCCTGGGTGGCTCAGTTGGTTAAGTATCTGCCTTCAGCTCAGGTCATGATCTCAGGGTCCTGGAATAGAGCCCCATGTGGGGTTCCCTGCTCAGCAGGGAGTCTGCTTCTCTCCCTCTCCCTCTGCCGCTGCCCCTGCTTGTGCTCATTCTGTCAAATAAATAAGATCTTAAAAAAAAATAAAGACAATGAAGAGAAGAGTGAAGGATTTCCTCTGGAATACAAGGCCCTCTAACCCCAAAGGCCATGCTGTGAACTGCACAACATGATAATTCATCCCAAATGGGTTAGATTATTTTTAATATATGAAATCAAGAAGTAAGTGAAGAAAAATTACAATATAATACAAACTACATGAGAAATAAAAGGGACAGCATCTTCCCACCTATACAGCCCTGGACAGATTTCAAACCAGGCTCGTACATCATCCCACGTGACCTGCCTAACCATCAACCTGACAAGGTGAGAAGGAATCCTTGTCACCATGGACTTTGTGGCCCATACCTGCAAACAAAGAACTAGTAAAAACTAAGAGTGAGTCCCATCTTTCAAGTAGGGTACCCTCTTGGAAGCACTTCTGAGGATCTACTTTGCATTTTAAAATTATTTCAACTTCATTTTTCTCTAACCAGTCGATAATTTAACTTCCCCTAATTCAGATTGCATCCACTCCCAATAGTAGGAAGTAGTAAAATCTCAGAATTGAAATTCACACTTAGGACTGCAGAACGCAGGCCCACATTGCTCATATCCAGGTGCTGCCCATCCCACCACAGTCTACGTGAAGGGTACCTGATGGTGCGTGCAGGCAAGCTGCAGAGCTGTGTACCAAGCAGCCCTGTCTGCCCTACATTAAAATATGTGAAAACTTACAGTGATTCTCAGAAGAAGTATAGGCCATGTGTAAGTAAACTTGAAAAGGATCTGAGAAATAAAATTCGCTTTGTATCACATACATACAACGCTTCAATTAAGCCTCACATTTTAAACGTGAATATCATTATCCCCATTTTAAAGACAGAGAAACTAAGACCCACGTGAATTAAACCATTTGTCTGAATCAAGTAACTAGAAAGGACTGAGATTTGAACCCACGTCTGTATGACAGCAAATTCTATGCTCTTTCCCCTATACCACCCTGCTTCAGCCCAAGAGCATATTTTAAATGCTTACCAAAAATGACATCTTGTCTTTTGATGACATCTTTCTCCTGCTTACTGCAAAATGAGGGATCCACCACCAGACTCCAAGATTCTGCTTCCAGCTCCTGGGCGTCACTGCTGAGGTCACTCCACAGAGAAGAATCCACGACATCTAGCGTGCCCGCAGAACACAAAAGCCAGAAGTGGAATAACACAAAACAAAGACCTTTCCAAGTACCCATGTCTATAGATTCATCACACAAAATAAACCTGCTTTGAACACAAAAACAGCTAAGCCAAAATACTGTTGATGTGGGGCAGAAACATCTAGAAACCAAACTGGTGAAAGGATCCAAATCAAGGCAGCTTGCAAGAAAGCAAAGAATCATTAAAAGAGTGATGGTGTGTATGTCTAAAAAAAAAAGACATTTAAAGATTCTTTTGTTTGTTTTGGTGTGGTCTGTTTTAGTTCTTTTATTTTTGGTAAATTTCTGAGTCCATAATGTGCTTACAGAATCTTGAACACACACTACCTTTTGCCCCAGGTTACTCTGCACTGTTTACTCAAATCTGAGTTTTGTACTTGTCCACCTGATTTGCTCTTGACTTGGCTCACTGTCCTTAATATAAACAAGAAAGCAGGGTACAAGGGCTCAAGTTACAGGAGAGTACAGATTTTTTTGACAGAATTTGATATCACACACACATACTCCTTCTAGGAAAACTAAATCCTATTTGCCCAAACAGCACTCCTGAGAGACAGTCCAGCTCAGAGGAGTCAGCATGAGAGGATAATGGATTGAAAGACTCAAGTTTAAAATAAAAGCAATAGATACCGGGGGAAGAGTCCATCCCTCACCTCACTGCTCTCCTTTTCTCTGGTCCTCCTTCACTTATTGATACAGCTTGGATACAACACACAATTCACCAGATTAAATCCTATCTTACAAAATATGCTTTTAAAAAATGCTTTTATTCCCCTAGAAGTAGGGGGCAACAGATGGGGATAAGTATCTCAGAAATCTAGGCAAGCGCAGTCCTAACTAAGTGAAGTACGTATTTTTAACATATGATCCTTATTCCAATTCATCAGTAGTTCTAAAACCTTATAAACAGTAACAAGCACACAATGTATTTCATTCTCTTATCTTCATGCCACATGTCTATTTAATATATCATATATCCTTGGCCACTACCTGGGAGTATTCACTGAGGCTAAATTTTCATTTATCAAAAGAACCTATACCAAAAAGACACCATGAAACAGAATTCTTTAAAACACACACACACAGAATATGTTTGATCCTTCAGAAAATATTCCTTCTGGCAATTCCTCCCAGAAACAAACGTGTCTTCTCCTCACCTTCCATTAAGAAGGACTCCGTGGAGGGAGAAGAGCCCATGGACTGTAGCAGCTCATCGGAATGAGACCTGCTTCTCCAGGTGTTCCCATCACTCTCAGACTCCAGGGTTGGCCCCGACCTTCTGAAGCTGGAGGGAAGGAGGGAGACGAGTCAGTTCCAGCAGTGGCTCTGAGACGTGAAGGCTCAGGCGGTTTCTCATCTTACCTTTCCAAGGCAGTGCCTGGAACACTTCTAGACAAAGGATGGGCCTGTGCCGAAGCTTCTTTTCTCCCGATGGGCAATCCAATGGGCATGGAGGAAGAAGGGTGCAACGAGAGACCAGGTTGTGGGATGTCTCGAAATGAAGAGTCTAGAAATAAGAGATGGGTGCTTCATGTGATTTTCACAGAGGGCAGTAATTACAAGGAGTCACTCAAAAGCCAAGGAGTGAAACACTGGAATGGAGGCTGCTGATATGTCGCATGCCCAGCCTTGACACCAGTCTCCTTGCCACCTCCTGACATCTGCTTCAAATGTCCCTTCCATTTCACACCCTCCTGATACCCATGCAGCAGGCCTGCTTCAGCACAGCCACTTGGAGACTGTGGGCGGCTGGGATTACACAAACAAGAAGATGGAATGGGGAAACACTGAGAGAGCTTTCCCATAAACCACTGCTTGTACTCCTTCCAGCCCGCTTTAAATAGATGCAAGGTGTTATTAGCACTATTAGTAGAAGGCATATTGTATGTTTCAACAATCATACACACATCCACACAGAACCATGTCAGCGGACTGGAATGATGCTGGGGAGTCTGTTCTTTAGGGGGTGAGAACTTCAGGCAAATGAAACCTGCAAGTCAAGCTGAGCTCTTCTCTCTCACAGACTGAAAACTAAGGGGTGCTTCAATACCTTTCTGGTTTCTTGCAAACTTCTTCTCAACACTTTCTTCTAGATCGTTACGGGCATGTATGTTTTTACACTTGATGTGTACCATACATGACCCTCAGGAAATATTTCAATCCTACAATATCAGAGATAGAGCACACACCTTCTCAAGCAGAAGAGAATCAATACTTACATGGAACCCTGGGATATTATGAAGGATTTTATACATGTATGATTTGGTTTGATTTTCATGACTCCCAGAGAAGGAATTTTATCAATTATAAGGTCCTTTTATTTTCATGCCGAACCTTATGAAATTGACAAGCGCCTCCCAACTACAATCAAAGGGACTTCTGTCCAAGCAGGGGTGTAAACGAAGTCACAGTCGTGACTCTCTGCACTAGCTTTACCTGTTCAACATCACACCCAATCGCATATCACCATGAATCTGCATACTGTATTGTCCCATGAGTCAAGTGGTTTTGGAAACACTGGTCACACTGTTAGAGCATTCAAATGAAAAGTGACTACAAACTTAAAAATGCCTTCCACGTGGCAAGCAATGCCATATTTGAGGCAGAACAAATTGCAAAGTCTCTCACAACAAACGGGAGGATTTTGAAACTTAGGAGATGATGGTCCCTGGTTCTTGCATGCAATGTAAACCTACTGTCAAAAGCTTCCAATTAGTGCCAAGAAGAACTGTTTCCTATGAAGCAATATGTAATTCAAAGAAAAACAGAAGCACCAAGTTTAACTGTAGATGAGAAAAACGCCAGGTTGCCTTGAAATATCACTGTCATCCTAAAGGAGCTGATGAGATCACAGCCTCAAGCCCAGCTAATAAGCAGGACCAGGTCACTATGATAATGGACAGCAGGGACTGTAGACTCCAAACTTCAGGATTTTATCCCTAACTCTGATTCTGAAGAAGCATGTGATAGGTATTTGTGTAGTTAAGTATGTGTTAGTGCTAGGAAAACAAAGTTATGGACGCTTCATGTCATGTTCTCTTTTCCCCCAAAGGTTGTTATTAAATCAATAGTGTATATTACACTAGATCATGTCTTAGAATTGAGGCAATATCCTAACACGTCCCCCCTTACAGTCCTCTCTGAAATAAAATATCATATAGTACCTCTAGCACAAAAGCTATTAGACTGGCATAGAAGTTTATAACATTCTTGACCTCCTTGTGTAAGTAAATATTACACTAATCATGTGTTAGGAAAGAAGAAATATTTGGACAAAGGAGAAAACAAAAGGAGTAGGTATTTCGCATTGGAAAAAAAGTATGGTATGTATGAAATTGCCATTTCCACATCACTTACTTCCAAGGATGGTCTGCGGTTTGTTCTTGTTGTATTTCTCTTGGAATTTCTGGTAAAGAACATTAGAAACACGTAAAACGAGATTAAATTCCATCTGACTACAAAAATGTCCACCCAGTTACACAGGATTCTTATCAATATCATTTTTGTTATCTTATTTCAAACAAAGAAATATTTAAAGCAAAAGACATTAAATGCACCGAAGAGGAAAATGGCATGATAATGAGATGTGCAGGCTGTAAAGAACGTGTGCCTCATGAACAAGTATCATGAATATCCCAGCTCTATTAAAAGTCTTTGGGAACCAGAAATCTCCATCTCATGGGTCCAGACCGCAGCTGAGAGAGGAGCTCCTATCAGCGCTGCCTTTCTCCTACTTGTTCTTCCTACTCTTGGCTACCCCTCCTGCCTACCGGCCACAACACCCTGAGGTATTGAAACATCACCCGTAACTACGTGACCAGACACAAGGTCTGTTTCAATTGGCACAGCGGTTGGAGACTCCAAGGTTCCCTCTGAAGCGTCATCACGCTCACTCGCATACATTTTGGACGTGACTTTAGAGTGGGAAAGAAAGGAAGAGATGTGACCAGATGCGTCCATTTCCTCAAGCCCCCTCCCAATCTCAGAGACCATTCCTTTATTCCAGGGGACCTCACAGTGTGGTCCCAGGACAGTAGTACCACCTGGGAACTTGTTAGAAATACAAGTTCTCGGACCCCACCCAGATCCTACTGGGTCAGCAAATATGAGAATGGGGCCCAGAAATCTAGTTTTCCCAGGTCCTCCAGGTGATGCTGTTATTTGCTAAATGTTTGAGAATTACCGCTCTACGCTTCATATACATACACTTGAGGTCCACACTGGTAAACCAAGCAGTTCTCAATGGAAAGACTAACCCACTTATACCTTATACCACAGGCAGCCACATTTGAGCTTTTCCTATTTCCAAAGGTGGATAGTTCAGGAAACAACTATACATGTGTGTGTTTTTTTTTAAATCACTATAATGATCACTTTAAAAACAAATATAGACAGTAATAAAAGAATAAAAACCTAAACAGATAACAGAAAGCAACAAAGCTACATATGCACAGGTAAAACAAATGACAGATTACCTTGGTACACGGAGGGGCAGCGTCCTTACAACCCTTGTGTACGTTTGCATTACAGTCTGAAAGACAAAAATGAGTAAGACAGCATTGTGCTTTTACCGGTCATCATAAAAGTAGCACACAAAAATATTTAGAAAACGTAAGGAAAAATATCTAGATCACATGTAGCCCCACCCTTGAGCACAAGCACATGGTTAACATTTTCATTTCCTTGGAGATATTTTCCCCCTTCTGCACAGTCTTACCAATTATGAAACCTGCAATCATGCATGATAGACACTTCTGTGTCTGCCTGAGAACTCATTTACCACTATATGCCCTGCCCTGCAAGGGATTTCTGATATCTGGCTGGTGGCAACTGCCCATTCCCGCACCAGGGAGAATGCCTTGCAAGATGGAAAGAAAGAAAACAAACTCACAACAATGCTGAAAAAAGTCCTGTCAGGCTCCAGGAGGAATTCCTGCTAACTACAGATAGCCACATTAAAAGAGACAAGTTGGCCGCTTGCTTGTCTTCCTCTATACCGCACGTGGCCTCAATTTCACTAAAAGAACGGAAGAGTTTGCCTGCTCCTTTCTGCCCACTGGCTCAGAGATCCAGGCTGTCTTCACAGAAAGCCGCCCCTGTGCGTGGGGACTGCTTTTTGCCAGGCTATTGTCTTCCTGCCCTCCATCCCCACCAGCCTCCACACCACCGCCATGACACTCTCATCCCACCCACCTCCACACAGTAAAGGGAGGAGCCTGCAGCTTATCACAGTTTTCATTAGAAAGAATCCTTCCTCGTGGGTAGGAGGTCCCATTTAGGTCCATCCCAGCCACAGTGGCAAAGTGCCTATAACCCACTGAGAAGCTAACCCAACTTCATCCCGCTGTAGGTCTACAGAGGCATTTTAGCCAATACCTCAATGGCCAATGAGCAGAGGTCAGGATTATCCACGTGCTGGTCCTGCTGGCAAACGTGGTAATCAGAGTGCTCTCTCCTCATTGCAGAACAAGTGAATGAAAGGAAAAGGGGAAGAAGTAGAAACTATGAGATAACACAAAGTTAGAAAACTCACAGGAAAAGTAAGCCACTGATGATTATTAACTCTAGAAACAGAGAGGAAAAACTTAGATATTTGAAATGTATTCTCCCTCAGAGACAAATAACAGACATAAAATAGGACCAAAAGGCCATGAAGGGAGTAGAGGACCTGATAATAGGCCAACACGATAAGAGGGAGATGGAGATTTGGGGGACAAGAAAGCAGAACTTGGACCCAACGGAGAAAAATCAGTTTAACCAAAATATCAAAGCAGCACTGGGAAATTAAACTTGAAAGATTCCCCCCTGGATGTAGAGAAAAAGGAGGGTATAATTATAAAGTAGAAGATGTCCTACCAAAAAAAGGTAACAGAGATCACACTTCTCCAAGGAAGAAATCAGAAAATCAGAAGCAATGGTCAAAGCTACAATGGACAAAAACTTTTATCAAACTAAAAAAGAACTACAAAAGGCAAATCAAAAGGTCTCCCTGTTTTCTAGGAGTTAAACGACACCTATTCTGTAGACACGTTCTGACGATATCTGTATGACTGAAAAATTTAAAGTTCTCAAGTATCTAGGCGGAACAAGTTACCAACAAAGAAATAAGGTCAGACAAGCCCCAAAACTTTTCTATTGTAATATTCGATGCCCAAAATTCATGGACCAATGTTGACAGGATGTCTGGGGGAAAGGTATTGGCCTAGGAATTTATTTAGCCAGATAAATCTCTTTTTGTGTGTGAAAGAAGGAAGAAAAGATATACTACCTCCTTAGAGACACAAGGTTTCAGAAAACAGATCAGTTCAATAACCCTTTTGAAAAAATGATTTACCTGAAATCCTACTCAAGACTATTATGAGCAGAATCAAAGTTAAGAGTTCAAGAATCAATCAGCTTTATTTTAAAAAAGAAAAAAAAAAAAGAAGCAACAAAACCAGCTAAACAAAGAATCATATCTAAAACATTTTTGTAAGCAGAGATAGAGAAATGAATACAAATATCAAATCATTCTTGAAAGAGAACACTATTTTTCAAAGATTAAACATACAACATAAAAAGAGTAATTTAATAGCTTAGTATACCAATAGAGTCTAGGGGAAAAAAGGGTAAATATAAGAGAAATTTAAGAATATCCACGTATAAGCCTTAAAAGTTACCACTAGTAGATACTACAAGAGCTTATCTTGCCAAGTCCCTGAGAACATAAAAACCAACAACACATGGTATAAATAGCTAAATCAGACATCAAGGAAAAGAGCAAAGAACTATAAAAGATAGTTGACAGCTGTAAAATTAAATGTAAATAAGGAAAAAAAAGCCTTGTTATAAAATAGTATCTCTCAGTTACAGATTAACTACAGCTAAATTAAAGACACATGCCCCAAATTAAAAACACAGAAATTTAAAAAATAATAATAAAAACACAGAAATAGGGAAAAATACAAAGAAAAGGAAAGCAAGAGGAATGTTAATTTTAGAGAAGGTAAAAATCAATGCCAAAGGCAATGAATGAAGGGTAATTTTATGTTTATGAAAGCTAATCTGCAATGAAGCTGTGATTTGTGAACTTCTGTGCACCCAGTAATGTAACATCTAAATATAAGCAGGGAAATCTATCTATAAACAAAAATAATTTTATAGAAATACAGTATTTATAAAAAACTAGAAACTCAGATTTTAACAAAGAAGAATACAAACACCGGAATCTTGAATACCTATATTACGTTTTGTTTTCTATCATGTTAAGATTAGAAATAGTAACCTTCATAATTAAAAACAAAAATACACGCATAAAATAGGATTTACCAGTAACAGCTGAGTTTACATGTCAAAATCTGCCCCATGTAAAAAAGCTTAATAGCCAAAGTTTAAACCCCCAACACTCCTCTTCTTAAAAACTATAAATCTTAGAACTTTTTAAAAAACTGTGCGTTAAAGAGGAAACTTTACATATACTCATCCTGATGCTAGCTAGAATGTAAGACAACAATCTAAGATGTAGACAGTGTTGGGGTGCCTGAGTGGCACAGTTAGTTAAGCGTCCGACTGCTGATTTCCGCTCAGATTATGATCTCAGGGTTGTGGGATCGAGACCACACAGCCAAAAAAAGATGTGGACAGTGTTATATGCAAAAGAATGCCACTTACCACATTATTTGTTGTGAAAAAAATGAGAAAAAGTTAAATGTACACTAAGTAAGGAGTAATTAAACACATTTCATATCAAATAAAACAGCATAAATAGCTAATGAGAATGAACTCCATTAAAATATGAAAATATGAATAGCCATCTTCTCTAGTTAGTAAGATTTGGGATAATTTTAAATTTCTCCTTAAGCCTTTTTTTTTTTTTTTAAGATTTTATTTATTTATTTGAGAGAGAGAATGAGAGAGAGCACATGAGAGGGGGGAGGGTCAGAGGGAGAAGCAGACTCCCCGCCGAGCAGGGAGCCCGATGCGGGACTCGATCCAGGGACTCCAAGATAATGCCCTGAGCCGAAGGCAGTCGCTTAACCAACTGAGCCACCCACGCGCCCCTCCTTAAGCCTTTTATCTTTTATGAGTCCTATTGCATTTAAAAAAAAATAATGACTTTTTTTTTTAAAGATTTTATTTGTCAGAGAGAGAGCACAAGCAGGGAGAGCGAAGCGGCAGGCAGAGCAGAGAGAGAAGCAGGCTCCCCACTGAGCAAGGAGTCTGATGTGGGACTCGATCCCAGGACCCCGGGATCACGCCCTTAGCCAAAGGCAGCCGCTTAACCAACTGAGCCACCCAGGTGTCCCAGTAATGACTTTCTTAAAAGCTAAATACATCCTCCATATTTTCAGCCATTTTGGCCTTCCACTCAAACTTCCATGGCCATCGACTTGACCAACTTTTCTGTGAACCAACATGTTCTGTGCTACACTACAGTTTACCTTTCAGTGAGCCCACCTCCCTCCCTGAGACCCCCTGCCCCAGTTTTCTGTCTGTCATTAACTACACAGGAGTGCCCAAGGCTGGGCTCTGTGATAGCTGCTGCAGGGGATACAGAAGCATCACTGTGTCATTTAGTCCTTGAAGTCTATTTTAGTAGTTAAATATCAAGAGGTTGTCCATAATCCAGTATGAAATGGAATAGGATAAATAGATCATACATGTGGTGCACAAAAATTTTGGACACAGTGGTCAGGGAAGACCTCCCGAGATGAGGTGAGAAATCAAGACAGATGCAGAAGACATGGGAGAAACGAAGAGGAGGGAGATCATCAGAAGCAAAGGGTCAGAGACGGGAGAACACACTCGGTGGGAGAGAAGGACAACATGCCTGGCAAGGCCTCTGGCTGTAAACCAAGGCTGAAGAGGGAACCAACTGTAGGACTATTTGGCACAGAGGGCACCTGACGCATCTCTCTGCAAAGTGTGGGCTTAGTCCAGTAAACAGAGAGAAGTCCTTAAGTGGATGTGGGTAGATGACAGCAGTGTTTGACAAAGACTAATGTGGTAAAAGTACTTATTCAGAATAAAGGAAGTGAAGGAGTGAATGGTGTTGAGTGGTGGGGGGTGGGGGGGTGGACAACAGGAAGAGGGATCAGCATGCCCAAGGTGTGAGCTTGCACCATTAACATAGAAGGAAGGACAGCCTTTTGGCATGTGGATGGTGAGGCTGGTTTTTGCCTTGTTGGTCTGGGAGACCAGAAGTCTCTGGGAGATGGTGGCCACAGATAGGGTTGCTCTGAGTCACTGTGTGAGCCAAGCACAGGGTGGTCAGGAGAGGGCTGACTGAGAACGTGTTATCTGAACAGACCTGAAGGAGGGGAGGGGGCAATCAGTCCACTGGCTGATCTGAGGGAGGAGCACTCCAGGCAGAAGGAAGAGCCGGGAAAGGCCTTCTGGCGGTAGCATGTCCGACCCGTTGAGAGAACAGCAAAGATGCCAGAGCGGCTGGAGCAGAGGGAGGAAGGGGGAAGGGACAGAGGGAGAGACGATGGGGCCTCACACCCATCGTCAGGGCTTTTGCCTTCCGCGGGGGTTGACAGGAAGCCACTGGAGGATCTGGAACACGGGGATCTGTGCCTTCACAAGCTCACTCGGCTGGGATTTGGAGAACAGATGCTTTTAGAACTGTGCCATTTGTGCTAAAAGTACAAGGAAACCAGTTAGAAAGCCACTGAAATGGTGGCTTTAGACCAGGGTGATACCAGCAACAGGGTGAAAGGTGGCTGGCTTTCACACATATTGGGAAGACAGAGCCAAGGGGAGCGCTGAAGGACTAGATGTGGGATGTGAGAGAGAAAGAGGCATAAAGAAAGACCCCGAGCTTTTTGCCATGAGCATGTGACTGGCGTGCTAGAGCTGCCATGAACGGAGAGGATCAGCCTGCATGTGGGCACAGGGGTGGGAAAGCAGAGCTCCACTTTGGACATGCAACTTTTGAGAAGCTGTTTAGATGCCCCAGTGGAGACATCAAGTAGGCAGGGAGATATAGAGGTCTGGGGTTCCGGGGGCTGTCACTTATGGGCAACAAGCACTGACTCGAACCATCACGGGTCACTGCTCGGTAAGTTGTCAAATCACACGGGCAGCGCTACAGTGAAGGTTTATGTAAAGATGCTTAACAATGCCCCTACTCTCCGGGGGCCTGGGTGGTACAGTCAGTTGAGCATCTGACTCGTAGTTTCGGCTCAGGTCATGATTTCAGGGTCATAAGATTGAGCCCTGCATCGAGCTCCATGCTCAGCACAGAGTCAGCTTAAGACTCTCTCTCCCTCTCCCCTCCTAAAATAAATAAATAAATCTTTGAAAAAACATAAAACAAAAAACAATGGCCCTATTTTCACGGGGCACTTTACTGTCTGGGGACGCAAAATGCAAAGACCGCACACGTTGGGCCCAAGAACTTACTGGAACACTGGAATGACTCCTTCCCCAGGAGCGTTTTATCACAAACCGAACACTGTAGAACCCCAGAGAATGTTCCAGGGACAAACTGATGGCGGCTCAGTTTCTCTTTGTCTTTGGCATCCTTGCTTTTTGTCTTCAGATACAACAGCAACAGCCAAGTGGGGAGAAATGAGAAAAGACAAATGCTGAGCGCCAAAGTACTTACGGAAGCCATACAAAGTCTCTACATTTTCTGTCTGAATGTAAGGACCGCACACGGAGGAGTGCAGTAATGCCAAAATGAATCATGGCCAGCCTACCGTTGTCTCGTACTTCTAATGACTTGGACGACATTCCATAACAAATGTAGAGGTCTTCGAGTATGTGTGTACAAAAATCTAAGATCAGTGACTTTAAAGGGCAAGTGGAAACCATACTAACTGCTGAAAAACAGAACCAGCTACATTTTAAACACAATTTTAATTACCTTAGATTTATTCCGAGGGCTTGTCATCCTATTCATGAGGAAGCTGAAAGTTCGGCTCACTTTGTATTTTTCAGACTCTGACTTGGCAGGTATAATGTATTTATCCCATTCTTCTTCCTGAATTCTACAAAAAAGAATCTGTTACCATGGCTTACCAGGACTTAAAGAGGGAATAAAAAACAATATATAATATATATACACACACACACACATATATATATGCACACACACATGTGTGTATATACACTTTTTTCTCAGGTTTAAAGGTTATTCTAAAGATAAAGATACATACTAAAAATGTATCTTATAGATGGATAACAGATGGATGGATGATAAAGCAACCATCTCACAATGTTATAAATTATAAAATCTAAGTGGTAGACATGGGTATTCAGCATATAATTCCTTCAACTTTTCTGTATACTTTAAATTTTTCATAATACAATACTAGAGAAATAAAGGAAAACTTAGAATTTTAGTCTGCAAACACTCATCTCCCTATTTGCTATGCCAACAGAAATTTCCAAGGCACAGAGAAGGCAAATAACCAGTAATAGGAAACTGGATTTTATTTATTTTTGGAACATAGAGATAATACTCAGAAGATACACATTTCCTTTGATAATACAGCTTGAGAAACAGACTGCCTAGCTCTTGGTTCAGTCTTTCCCACTCAACCAGGCTATTTGCAATCTGAGACTCCCCAGGTTGTAAAAGGGAGAAGGCTGTTGATATTTCCCCACAATAAAAGGCAAGCTAAAGATAATGGTATCCAATCTGTGAACACACTGAACATTTATATTCCCCTAAGCCATATAATCATTCTTTAGAAAAAAACAAGTCCCATCTATGACAAGTTCTATTTCCCCTGAAATTTTCTGATAGCCTTATATTTCTAACATTATTACAAAAAGACAGAGAGAGACAAAAAGAGAGAGAGAATATATTAAAGATCAACCAAATATCATGTAAAACCAAGTAACGCTTCTGTGAAACATTCTATAACCAAAGTCTCTCCCACTTCCCAAACTTATCATTCATCCACATTAGATGAATAACATTCATCTCTGGGATACACTTTTTTTTTTTTTTTAAAGATTTATTTATTTATTTGAGACAGAGAGAATGAGAGACAGAGAGCATGAGAGGGGGGAGGGTCAGAGGGAGAAGCAGACTCCCTGCCGAGCAGGGAGCCCAATGCGGGACTTGATCCCGGGACTCCAGGATCATGACCTGAGCCGAAGGCAGTCGCTTAACCAACTGAGCCACCCAGGCGCCTGGGATACACTTTTCAAAAGCTATCATATTACTGATAATCACCAAAATATATGATCACATTTTGTGACAATGAGTCCAATGACCAATCTTAGGACTTCAGTTTTTTTCATCTGATTAATGACAGGCTTAGACTTACAATTATTTCTAAGGCCCCTTCCCACACTTAAATATAATATGTACTTACCTGATACATATTAAATGGAATTTTAAGTTAGTTATTTATATTAGATATAGATTATTAATAATATAATTATTTGTGTAAAATAATCGAGAGTTCAAACCTATGAATGCATTTAGAAAAGATGATAAATGGCTTCAGAAGTGCCTCTTGGTCATGCAGATCCAAAGGCACAGGCAGGACAGTGTATGTCCTGCTAACTAGAATTCGGCACAATAAGTGAAAGTGGGTTTGCTACCTAGAGAAAACAACTCAAAAAGCTAGAAAGGAAAGAGGGCAGATGGAACTGAAAGTACCCTATGACTACTCAGAGTCACAAAAGGAACTTATATACTTTGTTATTTCCTTTCTACTTCCACAGCCACCTCCCTAGATAACTGACTGGTTAACATATTTATAAATTTCCATACCTCTTGTTTCTTAAGCATCCTAATTTGCAAAACTCATGATATATTATTCAACAGACTCACTTTTGGAATGGAGGAGAAAAACAAATTTGAGACCTTAGAAAGAATGGTCTCTGGAACATCTTCTGTGATCCCAAGTGCCTTCCAATGTCTATGTCAAGAACAATCTGGTGAGGAGACCTTAGTCACAGAATTAAAGAATGCTAAGAAGTCCTCCCCGCTACCTACCTCCCAGTAGAAACACAACTCTACTCTCTTAAAGATCTTTTTTTTTTTTTAAAGAAGATTTATTTATTTGAGAGAGAGCACTAGTGAGCATGAGAGTGCGAGTGGGGGTAGGGGCAAAGGGCGAGGATCTCAAGCAGACTCCCCACTAAGCACAGAAACCGATCGGGGGCTCGATCTCACGACCCTGAGGATCATGACCTGAGCCAAAAATCAAGAGTTGAAGCCTTAACCCACTGAGCCACCCATCTGCCCCTCTACTCTCTTAAATTCTGTTTATCCAACTCTTTTCCCAATTCCCTATGCTACAGAAGACCATATCAAAAACAATGTTTCAGTTTTGATCTAAAACCTTTATGTGGATCACAATTTTCCTATATCCTATATATTACTACAAAATGACATAAAATCATACCACTTACTCTTTAAACTTAAAGGCTGAGAAAACCTGAGACATGACCAAGTAAACAAAAAAATACTGAAACACTCAATATTAAAAACTAAGAATGGCCATCCCACATGGTAGAAATGTGAATATCATGGACATGATCCACTGTCACATTACAAAAATGAATAACATAGTATAACCTCTGGGCAAATGTAGAAGGCTGGTTGATTCCATGTTTCAAATCTAACAATACTATATTCACCTATGTTACAATTAGTTATGTTAAGGAAGAACTAAGAAGGGAAAAATTGCCAACTAATTTCACAATAGATTTTAAAAAGCTTTTCAATTTATAAGAATCTGGAAAAAAATTCATTTAAACTCTTTTCAAATCCCAGAACAAGATGCCTAAACTCTATCATCAATTTGATGACCAATGAAATCATCTTCAAAATAGTTTTACAAACCCCATTCCTCAGAGATTCTCATGGCATTACCTTTTCAGTGAAGATTTTAAGTATCTTAAGAATATGGATCCTCCTCATCTTAATCTTTAAACCTGTAATATCTGTAACTTATTTTTCAGAGAACTGAATATCTAAGTATTAAAAGGAATTCCCAATATCCAAACTGAAAATAGACACAATGAGACTTTTCTGGACATTCAGATGCTCATTTTTTAAAAAACAGATCAAGTAATAAATGTAACACATTTAAGACAGTGTCAATAAAAAACAATCATGCCATATAATTGTTAAGAAGTTGGTACGCCCTGTAAAAAAATTTTTTTTAATTTAAAAAAGAAGTTGATACACCCTGAAACTAATACTACAATGTATGTTAACTAACTGGAATTTAAGTAAAAACTTAAAACAAAGAATTATATCCTTATATTGAAAGTATTAAACTGTATTTGTCAGCTACTGTATAAACTAACATTTTTGGAGAATTAAATACTACTATATTTTGTACTTAAAAAAATTGATAGAAATGAAGTGTCTGTTCCTACAGAAAAGATCCTACAAAGTCTGGAGTGATCCCCCTTTTACCTGTCTGCATTCTTTCCCAGAAACTAAGTGATTAATATAAATAAGAGAATTCCAAAGAAGGCAGATCCCTCAAGTTCAACATGGCTAGAGCAAAGCATTAGCAATGGCCAGGGATCCTACTAGAACATCCAATAAGGTATTGTGCACAGACTAAATAAGTGAAAGATCTACTCCACAAGATACACCAGGGAATATGACTGAGAAAGTCAGATGCTTTCAGGATATGGACCAACACAGACTAAAGAAGAGAAAAAACAGAAGTGACAAAATAAGAAATAAGAAAGGGATACTCCTTACACATACCATCCAAGTTAAAATATTTTATAGGCTAATATTTAACCAATTATGACACTGGCTTTTTCAGTCTTAAGTCCCTCTCCTAATGGAGAATAAATATTTTTGATTGAAAAAAAATCTTTACATTAGTCCATTACTTCTCCAGTAATTAAAAAGATAACAGGGAGAAGACTATTAACCAAAATGATAACCAAGATGATGATCAAATTCCACAACTGAGTAATCTGCCTAAACATGAGTACCCAATGTACCCAGTGTAAATGTAAAAACACCCAATAGGTCAGTTATTGCTGCTTTTGCTATCATCACTATCCCCATCATGGCCATGTCCTCTTCATCATCATCCTATCAATAAAGGGTATCCTTAGTCTTCCTATTTGTGTCACTTGAAAATTTCTATTCTGGTCTCCAACAAAATAGGAATGAACAAATGGAGGCTTTTTCTTAGTGATACTTTTTTTTTTTTTAAGGAATTAAAGATTTATTTATTTTTAGAGAGAGAGAGCGGGGAAAGGGGGGGGGGGAGAGAATCTTAAGCAGACTCCCCATTGAGCACGGAAACTGACCTGGGGCCCGATCACACGACCCTGAGATCATGACCTGAGCCAAAATCAAAAGTCAGAGGCTTAACCGAATGAGCCACCTGGGCGCCCCCCTTTTTTTCTAAAATTTAAAACAAAATAGTCCATCTTGATATATATTAAAAAGTTCCAAAGTTTTAGCATTATTATGACCCAAATTAAAGCCATTTTCACTCTTTTTCACATTGTGTCTTCAAGCCAAACATTTAGGTCATTTCTGGCACTGGTTTTGCACATAACCCCAGGACTATTTCACAGTGTGACTTATGAGCAGTTACTCAAGACCAGTAGAACTCAACAATCCTGCCTGCTTGCTGGTCAGCTTCTCAAGCCTGACTCCAGCAACAATTCTGCCTTCTGGGGAAAAGAGAAGCTGAGGTTTCAAGCTTTCAGATCTGCCTATCAACCAGAAAACTGTGAATGCTTAAAATACTTTCACTATCACTTATTCTTTCTTTCGAAGTTAACCAACCACTCTAAGCAATATTCCATAAGGAGATAGCAGAGGTGGTTATGTACTTTCTACATCGGACCAACCAGGGGCCTGTTCCCATAGCAAGTCTTCTTGTCATGGCAGGCAGACTTAGCAAGAACCTAATGCCTTTCTAAAGCAGGTAATCCTCACCCTGTTGCTCTCATTGGTCCAGGACATTGGAGGTGTTTGTCTTTGAAAATAACCCAAAAGAGAATACTCTGTCCCCAGTCCTGAGACCTGCACATCTGGGGACTCACAGGAACAGGCTGTCATACAGATCAGAGAGGGAGCAAAGCATTCAGGCAGGCTCATTATACAGAAACCTCTCACAAACTATTGAACAGATCTCAAAATTCATGTGCAAATATTTCCAAAGATAGCAAGCAGACCCTCAGGAAAACTGGAACAGTTAAAATACCTTTTTTCTCTTGGTGGCTCCGGTAAGCTGTAAGCTCTTTGCTCTACAAGACACAGAACAATAAAATGAAAACTGAGGCAGACAAACTAGCAGTCATGTGTTAGTCTAAAATGCACACGCTCAACTGTATTTTATCATTATTCACACCACCAGTTAGAAAATAATGAGAAAATAAGTCATTTTATGTAAGCAGGGCATTGCTCTGGGTATCTTTATCACCATCCCTAATTTGGAGAGAACGGGCGGAGGCCACTATGTGGCAACATTTAATGACTTTATGAAGTTGGCATCAGCAGGAGGCAGCAAACATTTTCAGCATTGCAGAAAATTAGTTCTGTCGCTTTGGATATTTCTCATTAGAGCTTTCATCCCTTACTTGTAATATTGATTCCCTAACATACAGAATCAATCCATATGTTAGCTGCCTTTTAGGGAAGCTCAAAAGAAAAGTCTTGAAGGCCAACATAAGGAAGAGTCCATTTTAATATAGCTGCAATGACTTCATAAAATCCTAGCAGCAGCCACTTCAGAGATGTGCTTTGTGGTAGGAAAGGGAGATTCACTTTCCCCCCTGGACCTGGGGGTAAGGGAGATGGGAGATAGAAGGAACAGTCTCAGGCAAGAAGCTGAGCACCATCTTGTTTCCAGAAGTGGAGTGCTCATCAGAGCAGAGACACATTTAGAGAGTGAGCAAGAACTGAAGGAGGGAGAGGACACTGTAGAGCACATCATCTACAGAGCAGGGACTATTCCTTTACCACCACAGTCCAGAAGAGTGAAGAGGCAAAACCAGTTTGCAAAGGAAAGTGCATCAGATACATAAGGAGGAAAACTAATTAACACATATCCCCTGAAATGTGTAAATATCAATGTTCAATCTAATGCTACCTCGTATGTAACAAAAAATCTGCTTTGGAAGAATTTGGAGGATTTTATTGCCATAAATATTAAAGCTTTCAGATCTGCCTATCAACCAGAAAACTGTGAATGCTTAAAATACTTTCACTATCACTTTTAATTCACTATCACATTTAATTAATTAATTCATGAGCAGAAATCATTATGCTTGTTGTAAACATGCTGAGATGCCAAGAGATTAAGCCACATGTCCAAGATAATCAAGCTAATAAACTAATGGAACCAGCCTCAGGCAACTGGGCAAAGTCTAATAGGATTCCATCTAACAGTGCACAATGATTTTCAGAAGTACATTCACTTCACTCCTCAAATTCTTAAAAGTAAAACGCTTTTGTCCTTCTTGGTAAGGTTGTAATTATTGAGAATATTCCTGTCTATCTAAACACACAACGTACCAGAGGAAATTACAGGATAGGATTTTGTTTTGTATATACAAGCATTAAATAATGTTGCCACATCATTGTACCCTTGGCACCCCCAAAAAACCATGAGAAATGATAATAAGTAACCTTTTGGAAGTGACAAAGATGAGAAAACATCACAAATAAGAATACAGAGGGCTAAAACACTATCCTATTTTGTGTATCTAGTTTATAGCTCATATATAGGAGCTTCCAACTGGGGTGAAAGGAGACTTGGATTCTGTTCAAATAGAGAAAATTTTTAGGACTATTCCAAACTCATCGTGAAGGAACTTAAAGTAATGTAAATGTCAATTTAACTTTGATTAATCTAAATGAACTAAACAATGAAGCATCACATCTTTGAACTAGTCAAGCTTTCACTCTTGTGCTTTGATCACACCTACACACAGACACACAGAGTTAAAACTATTCCCTCTTCTTTAAGAGCTAATTGATTCTTCATATACCTATGGTTTACGCATTGGAATCTTGTACATTTATTATGTAGCTTCAACCTACATTGCCTATTTGTGATTCTTACCTTCTGGAGATGAAACTTCATTGAAATAGCCCTATTTTTAAATATACGGTCTAAAGGTAAGATTTTATTAACAGAAAAGCCAAAGGAATTGATGTCAGTTTTTTTATTCTAACTCAAATGCAAAGATTTAAGGATTGTATGTAAGGCAGATACCCTTCCTTATTCATTAAAGAATTCATAAATCAGGGCTTTTTTCCCTTATAAACAATCCATTTCCTCTCAGTCATCTGGTCAACAACTTCAAACTTCTGAACTGACTTTATTTTTTTTTTTGGCCTGAGTTTTCTTTTTTTTTTTTTTAATTTTATTATGTTATGTTAGTCACCATACAATACATCATTAGTTTTTGATGTGGTGATCCACGATCCATTGTTTGCGTATAACACCCAGTGCTCCATGCAATACGTGCCCTCCTTAATACCCATCACGTGCCCTCCTTAATACCGATCACTGGGCTAACCTATCCACCCTACCCCCTCCCCTCTAAAACCGTGTTTGTTTCTCAGAGTCCATAGTCTCTCATGGTTCATCTCTGACTTTAAAAACTAGTCACACTACAGATATAATGGCAAGGCTGCCATTTTGCACATTATAAAGACTTAGAAGCATTTTCTAAATAGTTAAGTTATGAAGTTAGTTCCCTATCTAGGACCATCAGTGAAAAGATGTCAAGGTACCATTAAAGGAATCCTAACCTAAACCAAGGTTAAGGAGACCTGGAGATCCCAGAAAGACTCATGATATATCTATATATCTATCTATACATTAAAAAAAAAGGGCAAGTTTAATCCATCTTTTTCCTGTCCTCTCAAGTTGGCTGTATCTTTTCTTTCTCTTAGTCTTTTTCTCCATTCCACATTCCGAAAATTTAAATCATGTTTATTATCAGTCTTGCTTTCTCCTCTTCCAGCAAGGATTCCCAGAAAGAAAAAGGAAAACAACAACAACAACAAAACAAAACCTAGCACCTGTTTTGTGCTCTATGTATCTTGTCTAGTGCATTCATTCAACAAATAATTATTGAACATCTCCCACATGTAAGTCATTGTTTTAGAATGGCAGTTCCAACCATAAAGATTCTGTTTTCAGTATTGCTTCACATGGCATAAAAATGTCAACAACAATGTAACAAAGAATAAGTAAAAAAAGAAGAGAAAAAGACTTGTGAAATAAATTCTATTTTAAATATTCTATAATAGGAAACTACAAATACTTGGGCACATCTTGCTTTCTGAGGCTTTTAAGACTCTTAAGGATAATAGACAAGTGAAGCATTAATATACTAAGAAACATTATAATGCTTTATATTACATATGGACATGAATACTACCAAATATGCCTTTAAATATAATTACTATAAAATATATTATGTACAGAAATATCTTTGTTTCAAAATAAAGTCAAAAATTGGAATTGTGGCTGAAAGGAGATATAAGGGCAGCTCTGAGTTGCCCATAATTATTCTGTTTATTAATCTGAATTCAGTTTTGAAAATCTGTCAAGCTGTAGGCTTATGATGTGCACACTTTCTAAAGATGTATAAATTAAACTTCTATTGTATCAAAGTTTTAGTTCTGATTGTTTACATTGCCCCAAAGAATGCTGAGATATATTTACTGATGTTTCAACTCTTTTCTTTTACTACCACTCTCTCAAGTCCCTTGCTAAATACAGAAAGGGAACAAATCTATTTTGCTGCGCTTTGTTTTAGTTAGATTTCAGCAATTTACACATAGGGCAAAGTAATTTTTTATGATTTCCTGAAAATCCTCTAAAGCTCTCATAATAATGAACCTAGAATAAATTCTCATTTCCATTGTCCTTGAGGAAAACACTTCGTTCAAAAAATAAAGCAACAGAGAAGGGTGTACCTATGTGTATTTTCATCAAAATGAAATCTATATCTTGACTAATATCCAATGAGAAAAGGATTTTGCTAAGCCTAGAAAAATCAATTATGAAAATGGAATTGAAAATTGCCTGCTACTTTTGTATATTTTATATACTTTTGCTAACTGAAAATCTGCCCTGGAATAGAATGCTCTCAAGACCAAATGGTAAAGAATGCTTACCTTCACTAGAATGGCACACTGTAAAATCACGCACCAACCGAGTTTTTCCTAAAGAAATTTTGGGTGATGAGCAGGAGTAAGAACGTGAGCGGACTCCAGAAAGCAAGGATTCCTAAAAGAAATCATACCAAAGTTTTTAAAAAAAATTCTACAGCGGATTTGAAAGCATATGTTCACCACAAATGTTATTGAAATAGCATCTCCGTAAAAAGTCAATGTGAATCTTACTGATGTAATCTCATTTTTTTTCTTCGCCTATCACAACTTTTAAAATTTTATTGTCTTTTCAACACATTAGTAAACTTGAGCTTCCTGCCCCATATATACTTTAAAATGCAATTATGATATTCTAATCAAGTTGGTTGAAAGTGAAAAATTATGTCAAATGATTTTTTCTCTGCATATTCAACAATTAGCCACTTTTTTTCACCTCTGTTATCAGGGGTGTTTTGTTTTTGTTTTTTGGTATTTTACACTGTAGTATCCAAGCAAAATTCCATATTAATTGATACCTTTTTATTTCATAATTATTAGAAGTTAGAAGAATTGCCACTTACAAGAGTTTTTTTTTAACACCCAGACAGCTATTTAAATTTATAATGTTAGCTGCAGCCTCTCAGGAAGAATGCATCAGGTCAACGTACAATTCCTCCCAGTCTGTGCCCACCTTTCAAAAAGCTTTCCATATAGCACTTCCTGAGATGGTATCTGAATTTCACTGATTTATGTACTTTAATTTTTTTAAGTGACCTATATTTTTGTTACCGTTTTCACAATTACATACTGTTTCTGTCATTATATTTGCAACATATGTGACAATGTAAGATGGCAAGATAATTAAAACATGGTTATCTTACATGTTCCGGAAAATTTAAATGAATATGCAACAGAACACCAATAAAGCCATTTATCGTACCTGACTCTCATCCAATAGGGTCCTAGTGGCCTTTTGATTGATCCCACTCATCTGTTTTTAAGATATCACTCAGAGATAAAATAAAGTCATGCAAAATTTGTTACTAAAATTAAGCCATTAGCAACTATCCTTCACAAGCACTGGTAGCTTCTATTCTCCCTAAGTGAAAACATAAAGTTTCCCTAAGTCCACTGGTTTAGTTAACAAGCCTGGAGGAAAGCTGAAACAGAAGCCTGCCCCCGTCACAAAGGGCCTTGGGCCTTGGCTCCTGAATGTCTTCTTAGGGAGGGCCCACTGGTTCTAGACATCAGACAGCTTGAGCTGCCCTATACCCCTAACAGTGACTAGTCACAGAGGGCCAGAGCCAAATGTCACCCTCTGCATGTAAGTTATGTATAGTAATTATTTTTCATAACCATGGAACTTTGAAAATTAGCCAGAATTCTTTGGCAAAAAGTTAACACAGGGCAATTACAGAGGCAAGGCAAGATACATTTTATAGGACGGAGTCTTCCTGAAAGTGAACAGCATGAACTGATTCACAAAGACTGAATTACTTTTCCTTCCAAGTAATAAGAACTTTTTCACAATTCCATTCAAAATGCAAAGAAGTATCTACATTAACAACCATACCCATTTCTTATCATCCAGAAATATCACATGACATTTAGGTTCAAAAGATCATGACTGCTCTCCAGGCCTCAGAGCTGAGGGGAAGGATTCAGGAACTGCAGTCAGAAAGTCAGAAGGCCTGGATTGAGGGCGCCTGGGTGGCTCAGTTGGTTAAGCGACTGCCTTCGGCTCAGGTCATGATCCCAGGGTCCTGAGATGGAGCCCCGCATCGGGCTCCCTGCTCTGCGGGAGGCCTGCTTCTCCCTCTCCCCTTCCCCCTGCTTGTGTTCCTGCTCTCGCTGTCTCTGTCTCTGTCAAATAAATAAATAAAATATTTAAAAAAAAAAAAAAAAAAAAAAAGAAGGCCTGGATTGAGTACTGAATCTATCACCAATTGGGAGCAACCTGGACGAGACACCTCATCTCTCCAAAACCTCATTTACCCAAAAATTAAAAGTATACTTATGTCCCAGCTAGCTAAGAGAAAATTGTAAGTTTCGTGTATGTCGAACTCATGTTTTGAATACCGCAAAGTACACCACAAAAACAAAGCATCATCATAACCATCAGAGATTCACAGTAAGAGAAATCTGGGCACAGCACACATTGTTTTACAGTAGTAAACTCAATTTAAAAAGAAAACAAGTGGACGATAGAAATCGAAAAAGAAGAAAACACACGTGCAAACACAAAAAGGCTTTGTCTTCAAGGTTGGAAGAGTTCATTATTTAAAAAAACAAAAACAAAAAGCCAAACAAACAAAAAACAACCATAACAAAACTCTAACGTGAAAACGTATATGAGAGAAAAGTCCTCTCCTGTGGAAAAACTGACAAAGTTTATGGTGTCCCACATTAGTTCGTGTAGCCAGAAATGCTCAACAAATATCACCTTTGCCTGTAATGTTATTTACCTCATCATCTGAGCCAAGTAAAAATGTATGTGAGCAAACAAGATTTCTCCCTTTGCTGAAGGGATGCTGGCAGAAATCATTATATAAAACAGCAAAATTTTCCAAGTATGTGAAAGATTATATGTACTGATGGTAAATTAACGAAACATAAACCCACCATTTTAAGGACTATATAAATTAAACAGAGTGGGAGAGATTAAAAAGACAATCAGACAGCTCATGAGTTTCTCAAAAAAAAAAAAAAAAGTTCACACATGTGAATGAAACATAATTTGCCCTTTGGATAGAGGTGGATGTTTAGATAACATAGCTTCCAAGTTTACAATAAACCAAATTAATACAATAAGAATACCTTCAACTGCAGGTTACTTGATAAAGAAAGGGACTCTGTCCTGGAGATACTAAAATCTGGTTCAGTGGTGGTCTCAAGAGAGTCCAATTCATCCCCACTAGGAATCCCAGTTCTTGAGGAACTCTGAGACACTGGAGTGTAGCAAATGTGTGACTGCTCGGAATGTCCTTCCCCTTCACTGTCGGCATCCAGGGCATCGAGGCTAGAACTAAAGCACAGAGGAATTAAAATAATCATGTAAGCCAACAGACTGACCACGGACTTGCTGGTTTCTATTTCTCTCCATTCAAATTCTCTCCTTGGCAGAAGATGCAACAGATACTCATTTAAAACGTTTCTAACAAAATTTCCAAGAGATTTTCCATTTTTATCCTCCCCCATCCAAATCTCCTCCTTTTTAAATAAAATGTTATGTTTCCCCAAACGAACATTTCCACCTAGCAGAAGCCATTGCGAGTACTCTAAGAAACAAAACCTGGTGTAAGTTAGTACTATCCTATTTGTTTTGTAAATGTAATTATTACAGGCCCTAAGTAGTTACCCTTCGAATATTAAAACTGCACAAGAAACAGAACCCCATGGTTGTTTGGGAGGCCTCTGGGGGATGGCAAGTGAAACTATGCAGCGGGGGACTAGAAAGCTCGGGCAGTGAGACATGTTCAAGGACAGACTGCAAAGACCTCACATCCGAGTTGATGGCAAGACCTGAGTCAACATGAGTCAAGTGGGCTCCCAAATGTGTCATGTTAGATTATCATTTTTAGAGATTTTAGCTGAGCAATCCACCTCAGAAACAGGTAGTACTTCTGCTCAACGACTGCTGTTCTTTCCTAATTTAACTTTAATAACCAGGAAATTAAAAGGAAAGAATGTGACCTTCCACATTCCTGGCTCATTCCATAACATTTACATTTTAAGCCACTCAAATTCTAAGGCCAAGAGCGTCCACAGGCATGTGAATACTGGATGCATTTTTAAATGTATTTTTATTCCATTGTTGCAGTTCTGGAGTTAAAATTTTAATAACACCACAATGAAACCATCTTGATTATGAAATATGATGCAGAAAGTGAAACTCTGAATTAATCCACTGTGGTTATTTTTCTTAAAAATCCATAAGCTACTTAGTGCCCGCTGAATATCCATGTAATAAATTATGACACTTGCCAAAGAGACTATACTACACATGTCTCTAATCCCAACACTTAGGTTACTCTCTGGGGCACCAGCAAACTCAGAAGTGAAGGCTACAACTGGCATCACTGAGGATTTCCAGAGTAGGGTCCTTCTCCTTTCAGAACCCATTGAAGGACTTTACCTTGGCATTGAGCAGAGAACAAACTAGAGGTGGACCTCACACTCTAATTCAACACATGAATGTTGAAGTCCATAAAATTATTTCTCATAAAAAACCAAAGCTTAGTGTGAAGAAACACCTTCTGGCAAATGCTGGTGCTCTGAATGTTACAGCAATGTAATTAGAGATATACTAAGGTGCTATGTAGTTTTCTTAATTCAACGATAGTCTGAGAGTAGACAGAGCCCTTAGGGGTGGTGGTGTGTGTGGGGGGGGGTGGTTGTTAAAGGTCCGCTGATGCCTTGTGCCTCTGTAGTTGTCTTTCAGCTTGTGATCTTGTGATGTGTCTTTTAACTTTGTTAATACAAATAAATATTAGTTCAAATGGTTGGCTGCCTGCCATCATATTCTAACTAAACAAAAGTCTTTCCAGTTATATACAGCATTTCTCCATCACTGTGAGTACATGCTAGAAGTATCAGGGATTATTTTACTTTGCACACTATACATTAAGACATTTCTTTAAAAAAAAAAAAAAGATTTTATTTTTAAATAATCTCTACACCCAAGGTTGGGCTTGAACTCACAAACCTCAGATCAAGAGTCACATGCTCTACCAACTAAGCCAGCCAGGCACCCCTAAAACATTTCTTTTTCTACCTATTTAAATGGGCTACAATTTTTCCTAAGTTAGTAAGCTAAGATATTTGGTATCATAAACCATATTCTTCAGGATTACCTCTTGGTTCTTGTTTTACAATACCATTTTTCAAGATCCCATTAGTGAAACATGAAATCCATTGTAAGTTGTGACCAAATTTTTCTTTTAAAATAGTATAGAATAGAAAATATAAGAATTCATTCCACATGTTATTTCATAAAACATTTATTTAAATTTTTTGTATATTTATGTGGTGGGGTGTCATGGTGTGATAAGCATTTCTTACTATGAATGTTGGTAAAACAAAAAAGGTTTTCAAAATAAAAGTTTTAGAATGAAATAAATTGTTCTATCATCTCATTTTCTTCTTGTTGTTATGCAGTTTAAAATAAATGTTGCTTTGCTTATATTCCCCTTGTAGCTTCTCAAAACATCAAAGTTTCAGTAACATATGGTTATGTATTGTGCATATTTTACTTTCACCAAAATGTTTTAAACCTTAGAAAATTTAGGGTTTAGGCCCCTGTGTTAACCTCAGTTTTTATTGTGTGCCCCCAAATTTCTCCTTCATGAGAAGTTCCCAGCCTCTCAGCCCCTCAGCCTCTTCACAGTACATTTCACTTTGAGTTCATTATCAATCATGTTACATGCTCCGAGCCTGACACCCACTGAAGGAAGAGTCCCACTGCCATCCCAGGGCCAAAATGGGGCTTTCTTGGATCATAAGTCCTTTGTCCTCATTCCTACATTTTCTGGAGGAGACAGAACATCTTTATTAGATAATGCCAAATTATTTTCCAAGGTTATTACACAATTTTCACTCCTATCAACTGTATATAAGTGTTTCCATTGTATACATTTGCACCAAAATATGGTAACTTTAAAATATTTGCCTACCTAGCAAGTGTACAATGTTATTTCATTGTGGTTTTCCTCTATTATATCTTACTTTCAAGTCAAGGAATGTAGGAATCTGAAAGGGGGCAATATTTTGATGTAGAGATAAAAGTGGTGGGGACAATAAGATATAATAAAATACAATTTCACAAGTCCAGCTACAAGGTTCTTTGATCTTCTACACTTCTCCTCTAGAATATAGCACCTTACCTTCTTTTCTTCAGATGACTTTGTTCCTTTTCAAATCCATGATGACCAAAGGAAAGATTAAAATTGGAAGCATATGAACTAGATGGTGATGGGAAGGACTGCTGAGCTTCAGTATTTGAGGTCACTTCCTTGTTCTCACTTAGTGGGTATTTTCCATGGCTGGTTTCGGCAGCAATGATATGCTTGCAGTTCTGAGGCCCCAGAGTAGAACCCATGGATTCAGGGCAGGTGTTTGTAGTGATTCCTTCTATATTAATGTAATTAATATCCAAATCACCAACCTGGTAGTTGAAAGAAAAATATTTGCTGAGCAAAAGCAGGAGAGATTGGCTGAACTGAGAATAAAATTTTCCCAATTGAACAAGCTTCCACCTTTTTTACCTTGTTCTGTTTGTTCTTGTTTTGTTTTATGTAAGCAGAGAATTCTTTCATGATGTTTTTGTTCACTTGGCTGCTATCCCACCATTCACGAAAGGAAGAAGACCAACTGAGTGCTTTATAAAGTTGTTCTTTACTATGAAACCAAAAATGGACTATGCTTTTAAGATTTTGTGAGCCACTGATTCAAAAGGGGATATATTTTAAATACTTGAGCAAAAACTAAAGAGTAGGCAGGTTTATTTAGAAAGTAGTTTATTGGAATCTGGATAACTAAGGTAGTGGTGGTCACATAAATCTGACTCTCAAAAAAAACAAAACAAACTACAAACTAGAATAAGAATAAAACTGCCTAAGATGAATGGACTTAACTAGAAAACACAAAATGCCCCAAACTTCAAATTATCTGTAAATAATAAAATTAACACCAAATCTAGCAAGCAACCTGTTATACTGCTGCCATAAGCCTATGTGCAGAATATAAGTGGTCTGGAAAATTCTGCACAGCAGAGAAAAGAGGGAGCTAATGGAGGGTCTAAGACCAACCTAAAATCGGCACTGGAAAGAGAAAGTGCAGCCTACACCTATGAAAAACAGTCCTTTATTTAAGGAAGAGGATTAAAAACATCGGTGATCTGAGGTGGCAGTCATCAAAGGCATCACTTCTGAGGGAGAAGACAGTAACAAGAAAAAGGATGACAGTCTGGTGACAGGGTAGCAAAGGGAGAAAGAAGCAAAAGGGGAAAATGTAGAGTCCTAAATCTTCATCATCATAATAATTTACTATGACAAAAACAATCAAGGAATGCCCAAACCAGTGGATGAGAGTCAGCTGAGTAACAGGAGATGTATAGACACTCAAACCCTCTTCCTGCAAGACACTTAATACTTTAAAAAGAAGATAGTAATTTTACTGAAAACAAACTTGGTAAATCAAAGATAAGTAATGGGACAAATTATTTTCCTGTGCCTCCTGATACAATGCAGTGAGAAGGACACAACATCACTTCTGTAATAATCCTGCTTACCAGACATAGCCTGAATCCAATCATGAGGAATTATCAAACAAACCAAAATTGAAGCACATTCTAACAAAAACAAACAAAATCCTGGTCTGTATTCTTCAAAACTATTGACTCCATAAAAGACAAATACTAAGGAACTCTTGCAAATTATAAGAGACTCAAGAGATAGGACAACTAAATTTTCTTTTGCTACAAAGAATATTGGGATGATTGGCTAAAATCGAGTAAGGTCTGCAGACAGTTACTACTATACTAATGATGATTTCCTGATTTTGGTAACTATAGATGCTTAGTAAGAGGATGACCAAGCTTTTTAGGAAATATACACCATGAAAGACTGAGGGATAAAAAGGCACCAAATTTTCAATTTGCCTGAAATGGTTAATATTATATACTTAGTTTCATCATTTGCATGTACAAAAACATACTATTCAGAGTATAGTTAAGCTAAAATATGATAAAATATTAACATTGGGGGAATTTTTATAAAGAACATATATGTATTCTTTGTACTGAATTATATAGGCTTGAAATGATGTCCAAATAAAATGAATTTTTTTCAAAGTAGTTTATATGACAGAGTAATTTTCAAAGTAGTTTCTACCACGTATATTTCCTCATTAGGTAGGTTGATAACTGAGAATTCACTGGAAACAGCATCACAAACAACGTACCAATTTTTTTACAGTTCTGTGCCAGGTTGAGGCAGAAGAAGGAAATGAGACAAGAGTCTTCTCAGATACTGATAGCAATTGTTTTAAATATGCAGAATTTGGACTCATATCATCCTTGTTATTCAAATGGACATAGAAACAGTAAAAGAATACTACAACTATGCTACACAGACAGAGTGAACTTCATTATTTGTATCCATACTTTTAGTTTTATTTCTGTTTTCATTGCACAAATTCAGCAATCCTCTGCTACATTTCAGTTTATCATTTAGGCTGTTTGAGTTCTCTTGAAATGCATGTTTCAAGTTATTAAAGCAATACTTACCTCAAGATATTCCGAAACAGAAATTATATTCTAACCTCATCTTTGGTTTGGGAAGTTTTGCAAGTTTAATGTATCTTAGAGCACAGTATTCCCCCATGTAATACTGAAGCATGTACAGTTTTAGCTACTTGAGGTAAGTGAAATATTTGCAGTATTCACTGAGGTTTAGAGCAAAGAGATAAGGATACAAGTACTTCACTTAAATGTTAAGAAAATACAGCAACCATTAGAATCAGAATGTGGCTAGAGCACACCAGACCCAATTGCCCTGTATCTCCAAAGAATGTCCCCAAAACTCCCTATTTGTCCTAACCTCTGCTTCATCCTAGATTTCTCTAAGTAGGGCTGACATTCAGCATGCCAAAAAAACTATACCAGGTATTTACAGCTGATGTCCATTCTGACTGGTCCCTCTGTCATCCCGAATATCAGCCCAATCCATACCTTTTATACTATGCATTTGATGTAACAATGTTTGGAAAAGAAAAGGAAAAAACCAAGATATTTGACTCAAAGGGTGAAATTGAGATCTACTAGACAGAGAAGTTTATATCACAGAAAACATCTCTAAGTAACAGGGTACAATATATGCGTAATAACAACAACAAAAAGGGTAAATTTCTTTATTGCTCAGTAAGCATATATATGGTGCATCTTCTATGGGGGTTAGGTTTGGAAGTCTGTGGAGAAGGCAAAAAATTATGTTTTGTCAAAATTACCCTTGAAAATCTCTAAAATCATCCATAAAATCGTATGCAGAGCATAAAAATCTTCAGATCTAAAACTATGTTTTAATTTTTATAAATATTAAAATTTGAGAATCGCTGAGCTAGAGAAAATAAAGGATAAATCCATATATCGACGCACATGCAAACCACAAGCCTCTGTGAGATCTAACTCACAAACCTCTGTCAGAGACTGGGTGGGGCATTCTAAAGGGTTCCAACTTCCCTGTAGTATAACAACATTCTCTCTTTTTTTTTTTTTTTAACATCATTCTCTTTTAATATTAAAGCTCTATAATCTTAGTATATGTTAATAGGTGTGTTACAAGGATTAAAGAAGTAATTTATATGACAGCATTACATGGGGCTGGCATCAAGCTCTTGCTCATAACTGTTTGCTGAATTTGAATACAAATATTACTTAATCAGGTCATGTACACAGTGTGTTTTGTTTTGTTTTGTTTTGTTGAAAAGCTGTAGAGAAGATACTAGCTTCCCAATTGTCACTTCCTATTTTGACTCCATGCAAGAGCTCACATACTCTTCTCACTTGACATTGTCTCAAGACCCCTCCCTACAGTTCTTCTAGGTGGGGTAACGAGTGCTGTGCATGAAAGGAAAACCTAAGTTAAGTGCTCATATGATGAGGCTCCAATGGAGCATCACCAGGGCCACACTTAGGCTGAAATTTTCAGAGCAACACAATGATGACTATAATTCTCATTTACTCAGGTTTTGGAAAGAGAGCAAGATCCCTCTTGTAACACCCGTCACGCCTTACCTGATCTATCACCATACAGTTAGCATAAACTTCATCACCGCCATTCAGCACACCAGAGAGTCGGCCTGCAGCAAAGAATGTTGGGGAATGCTTGGATTTTTTGAAGACATCAAAAGAGTGATCTAGAGGGAAAATGACAACAGGACAGAAAAAAAGTAGATGGAATTTATTTTACAGTCAAACTTTACCTTCTTTTTTTTTTAGATTTCATTTGTTATTTGAGAGAGAGAGAGACAGAGCAAGAGAAAGAAAGAATAAGCAGGGGGCAGGGGCAGAGGGAGAGGGAGAAGCAGACTCCCCATTGAGCAGGGAGACCAACGTGGGGCTCCATCCCAGGACCCTGAGAACATGACCTGAGCTGAAGGCAGACGCTTAACCCACTGAGCCACCCAGGCGCCCCAAACTTTACCTTCTTAATCGAACAGTTAAAAAAAATGCAGGCTGCATTTTTTAAATGTGTTCACATATTAACATCTATGTGCATGTATTTTCTGTTCTACATCCAAACCTTCTCAGTTATCTAAAACCTAAAGAATAGTTATAGATAGTGTGTGCCCATTTCAAGCACTATTTTTCCAATCATAAGAGATTTTTTATAAAATCATTAGATTTCTTTTTTTTTTTTTTTAATTGAGAGACAGCATGCGAGAGAGAGAGCGAGCACAAGCAGGAGGGAAGGGCAGAGGGAGAGGGAGAAGCAGACTCCCCACTGAGCAAGGAGTCCAATGCAGGGCTCGATCCCAGAATTCTGGGATCACGTCCTGAGCCGAAGGCAGATGCTTAACCAATTGAGCCCCCCAGGCACCCAAAAATCATTAGATTTCTGCTTTCCATTTCTAATAGATAAAACTAGAGTTCATTCTACTTTATCAATAACTTGGAAGCATTTGTGATTGTACTACAAGCCTCAGGGCCACTGCAGTGTTCAGGCTCCATACCCTTTATTAACGGACCAAAGACAGGACACAGTCTAGGAGTTCTGAATGAATATGCATACTCTTACAGAGAATGTTGCTTCTTTTTTAATTATCGAAATGTTTTTGTTTGTTTCTATGTTCTCGGCTTTGTTACAAATAGATGAGGTTGCTCAAAGTTGAGTTCCAAAGAGTTGAGGTGCTACTGTATTTGTAGGGAACAGGAAGTTGGAGGCAGTAAAACACAGTGAAGCCAGAATGCCTCATTTCCTGAGACTTTGGCTCAATACCTTTACAGAGTTTCCTCATCTATAAAAGCAGATTTTCATGATGCTTTCCCTGTCGTGGGGTATGAGAGTTAAATGAGTTCAAACATGGAAAGCACTAAATACATGCCAGCATTTAGCAAGAGCTCAATAAATATTAATTTTCAGTGTTACTACATTTTGTTATTAACAGTTATCTCAAGCATGTTCAATGTGAGGTTACTGATACTAAGAATATGGTGTTACTATCAGTATTATTAATACTATCTTAGTGTTATAGTAATAGTAAATTATCAGCATCTGTAAATGACTTTAGTAGGGTGGATTCAAAGGTGTGCTTGTAGCAGATATCATCCTCCCTGACATATATATTCTCAAGGGGACACAAAAGGAATAGTGTTGCCTCTGTTCTATCAGAAATAGCCCTAATCTCACCACCCCTCCAATCTATGTCATAGCATAAAAGCCAGGTAAGCCCATGGGAGTGAATCAGAAAATGAAAAAAGATTAGTAACTATTGGGCTGATGTACTTCTGCTGGAAGACATTATAAAAGTTACAAAAATATAGCAATTGTATGAACCAAATGGCATCAGTTTCAGATTCTGTATCTTAACCTACCTGCTGACCACAGAACACCAAAATGAGATTTCATTGAGCTTCTCAAGTAAATATACAGTGTAAATGGAAACTATTTTCTTTTATCCATAATGTCTTCTTTTATCAATTTATATAGCTAGCACTATGACAAAGTCCACAAATACTTCAAAAGTATGACCTTTATGATCAATTACTATACATTTTCATTGTAATTACACAAAGTAAAAGCACGTTCCAAAGATTATAAATCAAGAACCTGACAAAATGCTTTCAACATGTTCTGAAGAAAATACGTGCTTAAATGTCATTTTATAGAATGTTTGAAAAACAGTCATGAATAACTCAACATGGCCCTCTGAAGCATAATTAATCTAGTTTAAGTGCTCCACAATGGTTTGTTGTTTTTTTTTTTAAGATTTTATGTATTTAAGAGAGAGCATGAGCGAAAGAGAGAGAAAGAGAGTGCGCACAAGCAGGGGGGAAGGGCAGAGGGAGAGAAAGAAGCAGATGCCCTGCTGAGCAGGGAGCCTGATGTGCGGCTAGATCCCAAGACCCTGGGATCATGACCTGAGCAGAAGGCAGATGCTTAATCGACTGAGCCACCCAGGCACCCAAACTGCTCTATGATGTTTTAAGTTTACACACTATAACACACCTGGCATTTCTGCCATCACAATTGGTAACTTTGGCCAAGCTGGGGTTTAATTTATTTTCTGTGTAATTTGATCAGTGTTTTAGAAAATGATATAATTTGTTAACAAAGATGGGTCCCTAATCCCTTATCTCCAATTCTGAAATCTAGAAAGCTCTGAAAATCTAAACTTTTCTTCATAAATTTGGTTCATAAACATATTTGGTGCAAAATTTGACATGAACCACATGAGGCCATGTCTAGTTTTTATTTACCTCACCTGGTGTGAATATTCATACATTTTGCTGTAGAAATACTACCACACTGGATGATGGCATTGCCAGTCATATCATATTATAAGCACTATCCCAAAAAGATCTGAAAATTCTAAATTCCAAAACAAATCTAGTCCCAATAGTTTCAAACAAGAGACCAGATTTCTGTTATTACAGCAGATATTAGATCAATATTTCCCAAGATTTTATCATTCCTCTTCCAAATTTACAATTTTGCCATATCTACTTATTACCTGCATTATATTCTCTAATACTTGTTTTTAGATTGACCCACCCTTTTTTCTTTAAATAAAATGAATTTTAAAAGAAATACTTTATCCTTACTATAAACAGAAAGTCAGTATTCCCTGTCAAAACTGGAAGAGAATTATACAGACTAAACCAATGAAACCACCTTCTGACTGAATATAGTTGCCAATCAAAGCTGAGAGTCTACAAGGGTGTCTTGTTCACTGTCACGAAAGGAGATTCAGAAAGACTGGAGGATGTTAAAGATGCAGGGGGTTGCAAAATGAACTTTCTCCTTGAATCAGCAGAAAGATCAAGAATAAAAAGAAAAGGAAATACCTGCCTTCTGTGTGATTCAATGTCAACGAGCATTAGGTCGGGATACCAGCTTTAAGATCGACAGTGCCCAAAAGAATTTACCCTACACTTTGGGAAAATTGCCTAGACCATGTCATCATCCTGTCACTTAGGTAATGACTCCACTGAGACATTACTGTACAAAATCACAAGACAGTGGTGACAATGGAAAAATCTCTGTCTCCTCTCTAGATCTCTCATCCATAATCTACCACGTAAGATTTTCTGGGTCACTCAGAGCAACAATTTATAAGATTGGTCCAAAAGACTTTTTCAGTAGAACTCTAGAGCATTCATAGCCTCCTCTTGCCAAAGGATACCAAAGGGTAATCAGATCTGCAAGTGAACACAGATGAACAAACCAGAAGATGACAGCCTTCTAAGACCTTCACTCCTTTATTAACTTCAACACTAGTCATTGTAGTTAATGGGCTTCCAACCAGCGGAATGAGATTTATTACAGGAAGAAAATAAGTCTTCAAAATTACTTTCAAATAATCACCAGATACATATATTAAATTGGCTAATTTATCTTTGTCTCCATCATTCAAAGAAAAAGAAAAAAAATTCAAAAAAGCTACAATGGCTTCTTTAAAAAAAAAACAACTAATCTTATCAAGATTTAAGATATATTTCATTACTTCCATTTTAGTAGCAGTTAAGTGAAAAATAATTGCCAAAAAAAAAAAAGAATCCTTCAGGTCCTTTCTCAATAAGCATATACAGATAACACGCAATAAGAAAATCAGCTCTTTGTCTTAAATTATGCTGTTTTTAAGACAGTTCTCCCTGGGCACCTGGGTGGCTCAGTTGGTTAAGCGACTGCCTTCGGCTCAGGTCATGATCCTGGAGTCCCTGGATCGAGTCCCGCATCGGGCTCCCTGCTCGGCAGGGAGTCTGCTTCTCCCTCTGATCCTCCTCCCTCTCATGCTCTCTGTCTCTCATTCTCTCTGTCTCAAATAAATAAATAAAATCTTTAAGAAAAAAAAAAAGACAGTTTTCCCTAGCAAAAAGCTAACTTTACAGTTCTGTTGATAACATTTATTTTTAATATGTGGTAGACCCACATTTCAAAGGCAGTATAAAAGGAACCAAAACTCAACTGCCATCCAAATGGCTGAAATTTTTACATCAGTGAAGAACAATGCATTGTAGTCATTAAGAGCTAGGGCCCTGGGCTGCTTGAATGCCTAGCCCTACTTCACCAGCTATTCGCTGTGTGACCTTGGGCAAGTTACTTAACCTCTCTACACCTCCATTTCCTGATCCATAAAATAGGGATGATAACATATCTCATAGGATTATCCCAAGGATTAAGCGATTTAATATTTTAAGTGCTTGGACATCATGTGACACAAAGTAAGCCCTATAACACACTTGCTATTATCATACTAGTAAATGAGGTTGTCTAGTTTTGTCTAGCTTTTATCAAATGGTTTCTACCCTGGTTAGAACTTTACATGTTTCAAACCAACCCCAGGAAAGTGGAATGCATAAAACATTCATGTGCTACACAAAGAGCTTTTAAAATGTAACTCTCTTATTTCAGACCTAGCTCACATTAGGACATTTTATAAAGTCCATCCTGGAAATGGTAACCGAAAAACAAAGTCAAACTGCCCATAAAATTTACCTCCAGCAACTCAAGGATGAGATCTCACGAAATGGGAGGGATTATAACAGAACCAACAAAGAATAAAGTCAGACAATCAGAGACAGTGTTTCCCAAGAACAAAGGGAAGATTTGAGAATTGAGGATGTTCCAACATGATCAAGCGGCCTCGGGCCAGGTTCTCACTGCAGAGTGAGTGCCTAGAGGATAAACAGCAGC